ACGCATTCGGTGATGTCGCATGCCGCTCAAAGTCGTTCACTTTGCTGTTCAGACTTCTCATTTAGTGACAATATAATAAAAAACACCAGATTTTAGAATTGACGCCGCATATAATTGAACTTACCCGAAATAGTGAAGAGGGATTTGCTTTACTGTAACGTGATTTAACTAATGTAAAGCTTACAAAAATAGAATATAGAGTTTACCCGAAGATGTTCTATCCTATACAAGTTTACAAAAGATGCCAGTCTTCTAATGACGGGGTTTTTATTTTTTTACGACTCTGGTCAACTGCAATCCTCACCCAATATTTTGCATCTTCATTTGCAGTAAAATTAGTATCATTTTAAACGTTAGACTGTGTATCTTAACTTAGTAGCTTTTGTTCAAACTAATAACATTTTTTATTTTGAATTGAAAGTGAAGCAATTTGTCTCTTCCGCAATAGATCCATCATTTGCAAGACTTTGATTCCTCCAGGACTCCAACCACTTCATAGTACACTCCATTGGACATCATCGTGAGCCTATCCTTAGCCCGGAAGCCATTCCATTAATAAGTTTGGTTGTCTTGAATTGAAGTGCCGATGCTGCGAAGTAACAATTAATTCGGACAAAGTCTTCTGCTATTCAAAATTCCAAACTCATTTTGATAAAACATTTTTTGAAACCCTCACATACCTTTTACTAAACAAGGTACATTTTTTTTACTATAGTCTGAATTTGGGGATTTTTTTGCTGAGACAGGGGCTGCTATATCGCGTGCATGAAAAGTGTGGTACATAAACAAGTAGAGGGTTTCACGTGTATATGCGCGACCTTGTATCCCATCTCTACCCATGCAGTGGGCAATAGCATTGTGGCAGACTTCCGGTTCCTGTATGGTGCGTCCTGAACATTTCATAAATTTGCTTTTTGCGCGCAGTCATCTAGCAGTTCCCTGTCATAGGTGAATTTCAAATGTCAGTCCAGGACAAAATAGGACCCAGAAAGTTTATTGTGCAAGAATAGGCAGAATATCCACCACCTTGATGGGAACATTTGCATCTTGTCAATCCCAAACAATTGCAGTCCATTATTTATTATTTCTGACATCTAATTTATGTGCAAAGATTTGTTGACTAATTTCTTCAACTTAGGGGTGGTTACTCTTGAAAAAAGAATAAGGTTCCACAAATCATTGCCTTCATATATAATTTTAGGCCACCATTTTATTGCAATATTTCAGGTTGCATTAGGGTATATTGCGTCGTATTTTAAGGTACTTGTTTATACGAAAATCCAGAAAAACAACAGCATGTCTTAGATTAATTTTAACACAGGTAATACATACCTTCGGGATGAGCTAAAATTCACATAGATAATGGAAAGTGCTCAACGTTTGAGTAACCTTTCCTAACTTTGACCCCTATTAGGAGGTTATGAATGTACCTCGAGATTTCTTGATGGAACGATCATTGTCATGATGGTAACACGATTTGCTAATGCCTCGTATCACGTTTCGTCCTAGTTTCTACAAGTAAGGATGTCTTTGTTGTTAACCCTGAGAATATTTTACTAGATTTTCTGATTGACTTTCTTCTTATAATTTTGGTATTAATGAAGATCACTATATTGTAATATCAATAAATACAGAAATACTGGCAATTTCAGACACGTCTTTAATGCTGCAGGCTTATTCAATATATTCAGTGTTTCCATATGATTAAAATTCTTTTCTGAATTTGTACGAGAGTTTAAGCATTTCTCCTGCTGTTTTCTAAATAAGTTCTTAAACCTGAAATATACAGTTAAACGAATGTTTAAATAGAGCATCGACTCCACCGTAGCGCTTCTAATTACATAAACCATAGATATTAGTATAAAGGGATTTAGTGCACGTTTGGAGCATTAAATTGTTCGCGTAATATAGCAATGCGTGCAAGTGTGTATGGGCATTGAAGCGTTGATACGCTTCTTCCATTTATAATTCGGTTTATTAGTCCATTTGTTTCACCACTTTTTTGTTAATTCTTACTTCTTCAACCATATGCCCTGGAGGTTTCCATGACACCTTCACAGCACTACTACAGTACTATTGCACCACTTATGGTGTCAGAGGACATTTAATTTCCAATGTTTTTCCTATACAAAAATTAAATTGCCACTTCCCTTTGGGCTTCATCGTTTTTAAACGAAACGGCGTTACTTGGGTTCTGTTCATCATAATTTTATGTGTTGTATTGTGGTTCTATTGAAAAATTGTCATTTTACATTAATTTTAAGCAAATTTTCCATAGGCTGTGAAAATAAATGGGAAGTAACTCGTTTGTATTTTTTTAATAGCTTCCTCTCTCTACAGAATGAACCGTTTACTGGACGCCTATGCTGTCCTCAAACAGGCACCCGATAGGCGGAAACGAAATAAAAGCCCTTCAACGCCTACTGTAGAGAAAAATAATTTCAAGATAAGCCCTGATGAAAAAAGACGATGATGTTCTAATCAACCGTGTTTAATGGATTTCCAGTGTTTCGATTAAATGAAATGGGCAGTCTTTTAGCACCAGAAGAGGAAGAGTCCTATTTACAAACTGTAAAAAATGAGACATGCCTCTAAGCATTACGAGTGCACCTGACATTTCAAGTTTATGCTTTTATACGAAGTTAATCCAGGTGGGTTCAGTATCTGTATGCTTTTGTATCTTCAAACGAAGGGCATATCTCAGTAGCAAATAATTTTATAGCTATCTGCTCTTTTGAAATGCACTTTTAACCATCGTGCGATTATGACTTTGTTAGTTGAGACGGACACAATGAAAACTAGCATATATATAGTATGCGCAAGTTAGTAGATAACCGTAGTAATCCACCATCGCAATCTGGAACCGGTAGGAATGGTTATTTTGAACCACACGCATTTCAGGTAGCACTCTATAACAAATCCCGATTTGTAGACCAAATTATTATCAGATGTGTTGCTATATCAGTGACTTTCTTCTGATTACAATTTATTACAAATGAATGATCTGAATTGGTAAAGTGCAAAGGAGCGTTAGGTTACTTTATTGAAGAGACTCCTATAAAACCAGGAGGCTGATTTGTAAAAGGACATTTATTGTACTTTATCGACGAATTGCTTAGTAATCTAACAAGAGATTCGTAGATGTTGAGAAGAGGTCGATTACCACATAAAAGTTGATCAACCTCGTCCAATGCGGCTATGCTGAGCTCCAAGCATTATCTACATAGCTTCCATTGTTCATGTGAAATAATTAGCTGCATATATTAATACTAGTTGCCAGGTGATGACACACGAATATTCTCTCAAACTTTACATAAAGCTGGGTAACAGTAGTGACTTCTCACGCACAGAGGTAAGAACTCACAACAGTTTTGTTCACTTCTAAATATTTATGTTTGATTACCAATGATTTGATATAAACTCTTAAAAATGTTTTATGAATTTTACAAATTGATCTTGAAGTCCGCCAATGGGACCTAAAACAGTCATTAACAAAAATTAGTCATACTCAGTGGTAGGGTAGTGCTAAAACGGTAATAGACGTTTCTTATGGGCAAGTCGCGAAACTTTACCGGTTGTAGCGTAATTACAGCGCTTCTCCTTTTGAATTTATGCATTCAAAGCGGCTTGCTCGATTTTACTACGAGGTCCCATTGATTTTGGCCGATACAGAACTAAGCCTGAGATACAAGCTGTTCAGTTTGGCCCCGTTTCAAAATTATTTGAAATCGGTGTCCACTTCAGTAGAAACGAGAGATTAATCGCAAATATGCACATTTCAGAAGAATTTTTTTAAGCAAAGTAGTAAGGCATATCTTCATAGTAAATTTACTTTAGTGAGTCCTTTTGAGATGCGCTAAAGAATATTCTGGTATATATTGCTAACTCGCTTCGGAATACAACGTTAGAACGTGAACGGGAAATCCTTATTTGTCTTCAACTTTTGCCTTTTTTTTCTGGATGGTTAAAATAAATCAACGACTAAATGCCACTGTGAGTTTCTACTTTAGCCATTTGGCGACACTCGCCATTTTGAACGCGACGTCACGCAAGGCGCACATTAATGCCATCTTGCAGCACATTTAAAATTCAACCTTGATTTAAACATCTAACTTGCTTGACAAAGACTGTTAAAGTTGCAGTACGTCGCTTTGTCCAATTCATAGCAGTAAAAAGGTCGTAAACACATTGCCTTCAAAATAAACCTCCATTTTTACTTTTACTTTGTAACGTCATTTCCCGATAAAAACGAATGACGTGAGTCTTCAACCTGCATGGGTCCATTGCACCACTTAGAGGTAAAAAAATGTTTTAACGTTTAACGTTAGAGAATCATAATGATCTCCCGACTGCATCGATATGAAAATAAAGACCTTAAAATAGATAATAAGTCGGCTACCATTGAGCTTATTCATCATACAATCTACTCGTAGAACAAATCATTGCCAGATGCGTTTATCAAACATATCCGAGCATTTTATAAGGCTGAAAGTTCCAGTAATCATCGATTGGTCTGCTTTCAGGCGAGTAAAAAATTTCTCACCAGTTATAAGCACCTAGGTTAAGTGCGATGAATGCTCATTTGCACTTCCACAAAGCCTCTACACGGGTGGCGCATCAAAATAAACTCCCTCCAGCCTGAGCGTGGTACCGATACGCATTCCTTGCGCTGCCTGCAACTGCAGATTTGAGCACAACCAATCGACTCATGCCCAGCAGAAAACGCGTCACTAAGAGCAATCCTAGCTAACTGTTCATCAAACGGAGCCAAGCGGGAATTGCATGCATATTATTCATATAGAGAAATAAGCAAATGATGAGGTAGAGACGTCAACCGAGCTAATTTGACTCATGAAAAGTGGAAAATAAGAGCCTTTGGCTAAGAAACCTTTTGCTAAAGCGATGAGGAATTACACAAGAATTCTTTATCAGACTTAATTAAGAGCCAGGAAATCATTTAATAAAATGCAACGGAAGGAGAGGATAGGGAAAATAGGGGATTAGGCGATGTCGTCTTCACTGGCTAACTCGGAGCCCTCCTCGTAGTGAAAGACGGCGCCAGAGTTGTTGACGCTCTCAGCAATGAACGACGCAACGGCAGATGAGGAGGTGGTGGAGTGGGCACCGTGGAGTGGTGGCGAGGAGGACTGAAAAATGGACGATGTGGCCATCAATTTTTCAATATACTGCCCCAATATCTGATTCTCAGTGCGTAAGTTAGCATTTTCCTCCTTCACTGCATCCACGCGCTTAGACAAATCCACCAAAGTGTGTTGCAATTCCAAAACCTAAAGAAAGGGCAAAATGTTGCAATTACGATTTATGGATTTGCATTAAAAGGAGATTTGTTAATCACCGCTTCTTGAGCAGAGATTAGAAGATCTGACCTTTAAACTACTCCGTTTTGGAAACGTGCAAATCACAGGGTTCAAACCCCACAGAACAAGGTTTCCTACGGTTGTAAAATATAAAGGCAGGATTTTGTGCTCAAACTTACTAGATAATTTGAAGGCACGGTCATACACCGAAGATCCCGCACCCAATTCAACGCAATCGCAAATGCAATATGCTTATGATAATGGGAGTCGGCTAAATAAGTAGCAAAGAGACGAAAACCCCAGCAAACATATATTAACCCCCTGCAACTTTGTAGCGCGTCATTCTGCATGCTATTCAACTATTCATGCAAAATAAGCGAGAGTTAACTGTCTCTCGTCTATACCCTTCATAAATCAGTCAAACATACATTCAAAATATATTGCCCATACATTCGAACTCTACAAATATTTAATAGCATCTCAATCAAGAGAGCCATGTCTTCAAGTTGTGTGAAATAAAGCAGCGCATAAGTTAATCAGAACAATTCACTAGTACGTGTACATCTTGTTGCGTTACTCAGTGAATCAACAATCAAGGGTTGCAATGTTGCAACAAAATAAATATTCGCAGAACACTTATGATAGTCTGGTTGGGACGATTAAAGTATGAATGCTTTCATTCTTGTTTCTTCGTGAATGAGGATCCTCAGGCAAAACGCTTACTCGACTCATTATGATGCAATTGTATCCAATTCTTTCCTTTGACTTAATTCGCGAATAAAGCATAGGGCTTGTCTAAACAAGGCTTTGAACGTTGCAAAAAAATTAAAAGATGGATCGAAACAAATTTAGAGCGACAAAAATAGGCGTCAGATCCAAAATCTTTTCCTAATTTTCAATAATGCTGAAATGATTAGGCTAACAATGCTTCAGACATTTTCAAATGAACATTTAGCGAAAGTGGAACATTCGCAAACTCAAGTAACAAGAAGCCCCTATGCGGGCCACATCATCAGCAAATTTGCCTATCGCATCTTGAAAGATACCCTGAAGAGAAGCAAGTTACCAAATAAAACCAAATTTTATCGGCACCGAGCAGTGAAAGACTAAATAAATTGATTCTCTAGTTCAAAAAGCGGATCTAAAATGAAACTCATGCAACAATTAGATGCAAAAATTTAACCAAAGACCGCTGTTAGTAGCGTACAGCGCTGCAAGCACATAGAGTCAACGCTAGACTCCCCTGGAGTAAGAATACCAACTGGAAAACTTCGATTCGTGTTACGAATTGTTAGTCTCATTTCTCGAAGATTATGTTTCTGCGTGGCCATGGGAACAGCTTTGGTTCGTTGAGATAGGAATAAATAATATTTCTTGCATTTATATGTTCTTATCGCTGCCCAACGAAAATGATAGGTTAGGCGCAGGCAATGCACCGTGAGCAAATTTACCACAACCAATGTTAGTATTCCAGCCTTTTCACAATGCAAACCACCAGCGAAACCAGTTACATTATACCCTTTAATATCTTACACGTGCGTTGGTGCAAATACCCTACCAAATGTCCACTTACAGAAAACCCTATTTAATTCTCGTCTTTTAGGCTTCACCCTTATAAATTTTTAAAGGGGGGAACTGGTTGATTATGAAATCGCATCATTTAAAACAGTTAACGTTCAAATGACATTTTCACGGAAACGGTATACGGTGCGCAGTGAATTTTACGACGGTATAGGGTCACTAGATAAAGTTATTAGTAAACTAATTGTGGAAAATGGAGCACATGCACTTACTCAAAAGCGTAAAAATAAGTAGATGCTGATCCCATATTCAAATCATCTCAATTACATGGTTCAATTAGGATGCACAGTTTACATGTAAGGTAAGAACTTCCAAGGAAGTGCCCAATGAGAAGCTAGTGGCTAGTAGTAATTTTGCAGTTACCGAATTTGTAATTTTACAGGACTATAAAATGGTGTCTTGTACAACTTCATGAAGTCATCTCACGAAATAGATATGCCCTATTCGCAACTAGACAGTTTTGCTAATGTTAGATTGGTTAAGCTTCAAAACTAAACTTTACGAAGCATGAAATCTATTTCCACTCCAAAATACCATTAAAGGTAACAAACGGTTATAAAAACCTAAGAGTTGGAAAATTTCCTACAAATAGCAAGCAATGCACTGCCGTAAGGTAAAGCCAAAAAAAAAAACAATTAAACGTCAAGCGTAGACCAAAACGCATGGTCCGAAAAACAGGTATGGAAAGTAGGAAAAAAGCCACGACTGAGAAGAATCCAATTACTAGGCGCGTGATCCTGTACATTAGCATTTACAAGCAAAGGATGAGTTGTTACGCAATTACAGTCGTCAGTGGTGGGGACGCTGTTCATTCATCAGGTGTCGTGCCATCCACGAGCTACATCAACAGCTCACACGTAAGCAAAATTCCTTTTTCTGGTGACATAAGAGTTGGAGAGTAAGTCAAAATAACTGAATGTTGAGTGTGAATACTGGGACTAAAGCTGATTAATTGTATCATTTATAACCCTCCGGGGCTTAACGAATTGCATTCATGCCATTCAGCTGTCAGTATTAGCCAAGACAAGGAGAGCGGATGGCATAAATAGTACCGAAGTTTCCCAAAGAAGTTTTTACCCGGTCAATGCTCGATCTCGAGGCGCTGTTGGCATATGCAAATTCAGGTTTTAACATAACCAATACTAATAAACTGAATCCTAGTCAACAAAAAAGTTGTACTATTTTAAGTAAACCCGAAGATTTAAAGCGGAAAATTGGTGGTCCGCGTCGCCTTCATTTGACTTCCAACTACCGCAGAGAACACACTTGGGGTGGTCCACGATCAGCAAATGAAACAACCACACGCGTGCACACATGCAAGCAGTTATCTGACACGTCTCCGCCACATTACCCGAGATTGGCCGAAGGGAAAAGGAAGAAGCATTGAACCGGAATGTTTAATGAGCAGAAACATGTGAGCTTTTTTAACCACTCGATATGTGCAAACTAAAAATCGAGGACACTACATTTGAAACGTTTGCCGACGTTAGTGGTAGTATTCTTAAATCAATCAACAAATTAGTTTTTTTATTTCTAATAACCATATGATTTGAGACAAAGGAGGGGTTTTGGAATTTTGGACAAAATATTGCAAACCCAGAAACGGGTGACCATATTAAAGGGGGAAACCACAAAAGTATGCAGCTTCTTACATTTACCTTTGACAAGAGAGGAATGTTCAGGCTCCTTATGCATCCGCCACAACACACGAAAAGTATACGTCTTACACCACTTGCTTGAGGCATGTAATTGCATCTGCTAAATCCTCATTCAGTTGAAAGATATTGTTCCGTGTCTGTTTCTTGCATAAGACTTCAAAAAGGCCTGAAAACTTGAGATGAGCTGGGGACTTCCAAAATAAATTTGTTTTAAACCTGCCTACGCACAAACCCTTGCATAGAACATCAGCTAATCAGGCGTTATGTCTGTGGCTGAAAGTGTGATGTATAGACTAAATTCTCCATTCAAAAAACATTCAAGCGTGGGACCGGATAAGGACTTCTATCGGAAGTGGGTTCGCGTAAGAACTAACAGGAAATAGATTAAAACCATCATGTTCAACCGAAATGGTGGGGTCGCGGCCTTGAAACAGCCGAATATCTATTGTGATTTGTTTTGCCACAACATTAACGCGAGAATTTCGAAAACTGTTACCACTCAAAAGTGACTTTATTAAAAAGGATGCCGAGTCAAGAATGTTAGTACACTCAAGGGACTGCTGAGCCGTAATCTTCATCCTCATGTATTGCAGGTATTTATATGGGCTCGATTTTACTTTGGAAGACATATATTGTGCAGACGCAAAAAAACCCAGCCTTTGGGTTTGGCAGAGAGCATTATATAAGCACAATACCTTTTAGGCAAGTATAACTAAGCGCAAAGGCCATGTGAGATAAGATTTCATTTGTGAAGACATTTTCTCATGTTTTAATTTCACAAAATATGAAAAGTAAGCAATGATGTTTACTGATACTGTAAAGCAATCATTTCCAATGTTGATCGATCACAAAAAGCTTTAAAAATTTGCAAAAACCCCTCGTTTTAAATTCGCCAAATGTCTAGGTAGCATGCGTATAAACTACTGCGAACACTGGCAATGAAAATAACTTAGCACTTAAAGTAAACATGGTGGTCGAATCACGATACCTGCATGTCACAAATGAGCGTAAGAGTAAATGACAGTAGTGAAGCAACACTGGAGCTGCTGTATTGAGTTGGCTTAATAACTAGGTAGCAGCCGAATGAGACTAACACAAAATAACCGTTATTTCTACAAAACCACGAAGGATAAAGAGGGATTTGCACCAATTTCAAAATACGATGAACGTCCCCAATATCTAGTTACAAATAATGCACAAGCCAAAACAGCATCTACTGATGTGTAACTGTAAGTTTAGAACTTTGTATTATGTAATTACGGTCATTAGTGCAACCAACGGGGATTTTTACTCCAACCATCGACGCAACACCGCAGCAAAAAGTAATTCTCTACTTACGAAAAAAGAGTAGGGAGCACACACCTGTTTAATAAGTCGTTGTTTCTCCTCACGATCAACTTCGGAGAGACCAGCATCATAGAAAGCGGAGTGGAAGCCACTTTCCAAGTACGGATTTGCATTTCCACCCACCGAACTCATTGTAACCGAATGAAATTCCTTTCAAAACATAGGAGAATTGTAATAAGGTAGAGAAATGACCTATTTTGACAACAGTTCATATGGGTAGGCAATTACTATTAACAATTCTCTATTGATGCACCAAGTCTCAAATCATATTTCAAAGATAAAGATTAGGAACCTCGAGTAGTACCTGCATGACTTGGGACATCAGGTAGTAGTATACGAACAAAGAGAATATAGAGTACAAGAAGGAAAGTGTGGCGAAACACCCACATGCCCTAGAAATATGGTTTTGTATTATTACCACCAAAATGCAATCCAAGGCCAAAAGTTGGTCTCATGTAGCAGACCAACGAAAGACGATCACTGGTAGAACAATAGTAATACCAACACGTGGATACCGCAAGTAAAAAACCTTACCATCTAAATGCCTGATTTAATACCTGATATACCACAAAATAAACTATCAGGGATGATACAAAATATCTTATCAACCACCACAAGCCGGCCATTCAAGTGCAAATAAGTTGCGAAAGCTCATTTCACGAATTTGCGAAAGCCTATCGTACCATTAGCTTGATTTAGAGGGAAGAACTTCTAATGGAGAGGTGAACAAGATACAAGCAAACAACGCACTTCACGCGGTGTCTATTTAAACACTTGTTTAAGATGGTGTATTTATTCAATAATGTCTCCACAAAAAATACGAGTTATCACTTATGCTACAAAATACTGCTTTAAGGAGTCGTACTTTTCCACTAATGCTTTGTTAGTCTATCCCTTTTAAGATATGTACGGCAGTCGTCATATAAAGTATTACTTAGAGAGTAAAAAATTCTCATTGTTCGTTTGCCAGATGAATAAAACCGATATTAATCTTTTATTTGCTCATAGATGCCAACTTGGGAAACAAACTCTAACCATTAATTACTCCTCGGCCGCTCATAAATGTACTCAAAATGCCACTCCTAACTACACATTTTTGGGCTTCTTTCACTTGTTCAGGCAATCCATTCAATCCAATGTGTACATGGTTCTGCCATAATTTATAAGAAGTATGTCGCACTACACTAAATTAGGAATATCTACACCGATTACCTATTCCAAATGATTGAAAATGAAGCTATTATTGCGGACGAGATATCCGTATGGGTTGGCAATAGTGCAAACCGAATGAACAGGCAAGTATGATCAAATGCTTGCACTTAAAATTATTGGTAATCATTATTGCAACATGCTTAGGTTCCAAATGAGCTTTTTTCGCTACTCTACCTTATTTAACTATCGCAAATATTAACCCGCGCCTCCAGATTGGTCCCGTTGAATGATTGACGGGCGCGCCACCTCGCATTGTATGCCTTCCAACCCACTATCGCGACCACCCAATCTGAATGCGGATTATTGAGGCTCGATTACGTGTGGGCCGTCAGCACGCCGTGAACTACACAAATGGCGCTGCATTCAAACCACTCCAAACCCATCAATTTGACACATCCTTACGAATAACTCCACATCCCACTAGAATAATTCTGTTGAACACATCAATCTGCCTCTGTACGCACATGGCCGCGCGCACGGCCTGATCCCGCACTTATCATGAAATCCTGAGATAATACAATTTCCAACAACCTGAAATGCCCATTTGAGTTCGTAAAAGACTCCATGACACTGAATGAAGCCATCCCAGACGACAACATATAAGTGCAGAAATTCGTCAGGATTACACAACGGACAAAGTTCAGACAAATATATAATGGTCAATGTGGAGGCCATCGGTGATGACCACCTATTGATAGAAATGATTGTTTTAGATAAAAATATTTAAAATACACCCAATTTGTTCAAAATTAAGAAAATCAGACATGAAGTAGCCCATACAGTTACAACAACGGGCCAAATGGGATGCGAAAAAGGTGATTGATACCGATTGACCGTACAACGCCCCCTCTGGTCGACCACCACAGACTCGTCATTTGGGGTCTCTGATTTGAATTTGGCCTGCAAAGCTCTTCTTGCATAAAACACCAGCACCACGGGAAAGACGTACATTATAAAAATGCCGCCAAAGGCTCCGGTTACGCTCACTAATTGTCCCACATCATTCACTGCCAAAGCTATCAAAATTGGCGGAATTAACGCCAAAAACGGCACACACCATCTGATGACCAAGCTGACCATTCGACCAGGGGGCAGGAGTGCAAGAAAAATTGCGATCAGGTTATTTGACAATGTTGTCCCCAAGACCGGAAAATTGGATGAGAGAGCGAAGGCAGGGTAAAGGGCGAGGAAGTACTCCAACAGCAGTAGGAGCCATCCAGGCCGAAGGGTGGGATCATTTGACGGCACAAAATTGAGGGTGTAAAGGTCGTGTATGTAGTCGAAGGCGGTGATACCAGTGCCCGAAAGGAGAAGGTAGCAGAAGTAGATAAGGAGGTAGACAGGCAACATTATAGAGGAGAAGAGGCGCTGCTTCTTGTCAATGGGCGTGATGACACCAGGCAGGGAGTGGTGGCACATAAAAGCATAGACGCACACACCGAAGGCTTTGGGAAGGTTGGAGAAATTAGCAATTGGTGGATGGGGTCGATCTGGAGAGCCGAGAAGGCTCATGTAAGCGGGCATCTGATGTCGCCTCAGTCGAGGCACTTCGGGGAATTCTATTATACGAGCGATTGCTATTGAGGACATTAGAAGTACTGCGACCCAACGAGCGATTATGGTGCTTGCTTGAAGCCAACGTATCTTCGTAACATTGCAAAAGAAAGGCGGACCCAAAACGCATGCAAATATGGTCTAAAAGCGAGAAAACGCCGACTTAAAAATATTGAAGCAAGTATCCTTTCAAAGCGAGCCAAATTTTATCAGAAAATATGACATACGAGACAGATCTTGTAGACTGTCGTTCTGGAAATGCCACTGGGTGACCAACAAGGATCTGTCTCGTTCAGAGTCTCAGCTGAAACATTACTAAAACATCGATCGATATGGGATCAGAAGTACTTAAAAAGCCCTAGGTGAAAGCACTTAAAATGAACACCACATAAAAAAGCCAAAAAATCTGATCCACAAAGAGAAAGTAACAAAAAAGTCTAATTTAAATAAGCCCTTAAGCAAAAACTTACCTATTGTGCCACACTTTGCATAAAAACAAACATTCCGTGCAAGACCTATCAAAACTAAACACCCTGCACTGACAGAAACATAAATTAATGGAATTAGGAAATTGTTAACACTGCTGTTTGTAAGCGAAACACTGATGAAATTTGAATGCACTCGATATCTGCATGTTGCAAATGAAAATTATAGAAAACGTTTGAGCTTAAGGAAACTAATAACAACTTGTTTACTTGTTAGCTAAACAAGTGTATGGGCCTTCGATCTAGTGCTATTGTATAGGGGGTGTCCAAGTGATCAATACTTCAATATCTTCATTGACAGGACACCACTTGAAGACTTGCATTTAACCAACACTACACGATTATTCTATGATGAGGTTAATACAATGCATTCCTAGTTCGGTATCGATGCAGCATGTGTAAGAATAAGTTCTTTTAAACACTCACTCGCAAACAGTAAGACGATCTATTAAATAAACCCAGGCTATGCAAGCAACTGAGGACGTTGTTCAAATATCGCACAGCAAATGCATAAACTGTTCTGCCACAACATTAAAGTATCCGCTTTGCATTTACTTGAATGAGCACGAAGACTTTTATCTATTCAACTTGTTTTCTCAAATGGATGCACCAGAACAGCACTCAGTTTGTATGCGGATTGCTTTGGTTCACCAAGCATATATGTCAAAAAATTTTTAGTCGGAACCCATTGAACAAGAAAAGTGGGGCAGTTTATGAATGCAGTGAGCTGCAAAATGTCATTTCATAGTAAAAAACATTGCGTGTAACAAAATTTAGATGTAATACGTATGCTGAGTTTGAAAATGAAACCGGATGAATAGACTAAGTAAATGCTATTTCCGAAACCAAGGGTGCTGTCTCAATAGGCATCTAGGTTAAAACAAGTGAGTTCTGGAATTAGCAGACTTCAAACATGGCGCCAAGAAGACGTAAGCGATTTCTAATACAATATGCGCACTTAACGTCACATAGGTTTCGTCAAAACTGATCTGGCATGTTTACAGTCGAATAGAAGAGCTACGCACGATTACGATTTAGCACAGAATTGGATCTTAAAATTGCGCAAACAAGACCAATGGGAATGTTCTTCAAAGTCATGCTGCTCACATCAGCATTTTTCATGTACACAAACAGAAAAGGCTGACTATGTGGCTTACCAAGTCACATCCCGAAGAGATTTGGAAACAGCCACAGCATATATGCTCAAATCGCCATATATGTATAAGGAGATAGTAACGTAAAAGAACAAAGTCCAGGCTCTACCAACCAAATTCCGAAATAGCTCGCCCTAGATCAGGGGACTAAGTAAGAGAAATAATAGATATTACCAGCTCATATTTAGTAGAGATCTCGAAGTCTTCCGCTCTAATCATACTCGAATTTGGCAAGAGCTCCTCATCTTCACTTGCTTCCCTTCCTTCTCCAGATACCTATGGTAAAACTCTATAGCGTAGTTGCCAATTACCAGTTCATGACCCGGTCTAATGGCGTTGCAGACGGCCATAGTTTCAATTATGAATATGGCAGGAACATAACTGTATTAAAGCAAAGTTAATCAAAAGACAAATGGAACCTCATGAAGGCAATAACCGCTAAAAGAACGCCAGTAACCAGCCAGCCAGCCTCTTTAAAGGCTCTAGGGAGAGCAAGTGCCCCTGTGCCAAGAATTAAGTTAAACAAAAAGATACGTCCGAACTATCGTAAATATATGTAATTAGTGAACCTTACCAGACGAGAATATGTCGGCCTAGCGATTTGTGAGGTCATAATATCATGACGTTACCCTGTAATAAAGAATACAAGCAGCTCTAATACATTACATACAAGTTGCACATTCAGTGGCGATACGTATCATACTATTTGCTTAAAACGAAGCCGTGAGGTTGAATGGCAATTAGCAAAACAGAGCAAAGGATGTGTGGACTCTAATAGGGATACATAAGAGGGCAAAAATAATATCAATTTTGTAAAATGAGTAGCAGCATAAGAAATGGCTTCACTGATAGAAAAAGGTGAGTGAGTAGGTTGCACACAGAAGACGAATGATAGAATAGTGGTTACATCTGTGACAACAAAACTTTGACAAATTATAATGAATGTGATTGAATATGAAGAAGACATATAACAAGGTTGACCGGACACGACAGACAAGCTGGACACACCTAGCGCCCACCCGGACCAGAACACACGGTTAACCTTCTGACCTTGCAAGGGTAGCGACAAACAAAATCTTTGAATATTTTTAAATCTCTTTTGGTAAAAATGCTGCGAACTTTAACGCAAAAAGCCTTTCAGCTGGTCGCTGGCTGTAAATGCTAAGAACCATGTAGTCATCTTTCTACCGATTCTAATCCTTGAGAAGCCTTATCCAAATGTCTCGTTTGTAAATTATTTAATTGTATTGTTTTAAAAACCCCCTATAATGTTGTTACCGAGGATAAAATTTTTAGAGTCAAGGTTTAAACTGATGCTAGCTGCCCAAACTCCTAATGATTTGCACCTAGTGATTTTACCTCAAGCCTTGAGCCATTGGTTTTCCGAGCAGTTTACAAAAGGAACATATTGACTATCTACCTGCCTAGATTAGAAGTAGGCCAACTTAATAAACCTGTATTTCGAATATTCTCTGGTTCGTAAAATCAGACAGTTTTGAGTAATTTGATATAATCTTCTGCCTCAGGATTTGGTTAAATTGGATTATCGATTACTGGCATCTTTCTAGCTTCTTCAGCGCCCATAGGTTCTAAAAATTGTCAGCCGCTTTGAATTCACATTCCCCATTTCTCTTTTAAGATATTATTTGGGATTTTGTATGGTTTCTGCTACCCTTCAATGCATGGACTCCGTTTTGCAGAGCTCAGCGTTGCCACTGCATGAAGACTTCCAAGCCTGAAAGGTACGGCAGGTTCCATCTTTTTATCAAAGTTCGAAGCATTAAAGCACTTTACATTGTGTGAATTGCGAATGACCTAAACGTTGAAATTTGTTACAGCCCCCTCGTCAATTCCATTTCGATCTTCGATACAGAGCAAGCATGCCAAATAAGAACAATTCAAACGAAATAAAGCTTGGGAAAAATAGCCCTAACAATGTGAGAAATAGCTTAGTTGGCTTTTGAAAGTTCCCTTTGCAATGTTGGAGGCAGGACACACTCTTCGAATCCAGTCGAATTTCAGTCCTGCCTGGACAGCTTCCTATGTTACCGATGTGTTCGAGCAAACTACAGCATTTGAGTGGTATCCATTGTCGAGGGAACATTCTTTTTACCGCAGAATGCTGTATGGTGTTCCAGACTGTGCAACAAGCAGACTTTAGTTCAGTTGTGGAGACCGAGTATTCAACAGTGGACTCGTGCACCTGGTTGTTATGCCGATTTTGGTACAATTTAGTGAGGAGTTGGGGGCTCGTGTTCATGTATGCGAGTGTTGAGGCTTCAAAGATAAGAAACAGCATTGAAACCAATATACACGAAAACACAATGATTCTTGATTTTTGACTAACGAAGAGAGGAAGTTGAAGTAGTGCTGCTGTTCCCGTACATATTTGCACGCCTTGCAGAAGATTATCCATGAACGTCAGTTCCTCAGCAGGAGGTGGGAGGTGCAGAAATGTGGCAATCAACAGCACGCCTGTAATGGTATGACTTACACATACAACAAAAAACACAACTATTGTGGCATGTGCGAGAAATCTTGGCATGTTCGCCAGCGTATACCCGATTCCAAACAGCTGGCAATAAGACCCACACATGGGAAATCAATCTTTTGAATCTTTAAGCAACTCAACCAATGCGGTTTGACGTCCTTCCTGAACGGGTAACACCGTGCCGAAACAGCACAACCAATGTCCTTCACTAACACGCTGACGCCTTTCGCACTTAGGACCCCTCGTTTACAAGATAACTCCAGTAGCTGTTCCACATCTCCCTGCATTGCACACCGTTCTCAGTCTAGGACCTACTTTACGACTCTGGAGAGGCCTTCAGCAAGACCCACAACCCCCATCATTGAGGTGGCTCAGTAACGTCAACCATTTAACCGTCAGGGGTACAGTAGCTTTTGCCGTTATCTCCGACCAATTCTTAATGCTACTTGTACTTTACTTCACCAACTCTCCGTCCAATTGTTACCCAAACGTAAAATTGATTCAAAGAAGCGAAAAAACTGCCACGGATTCCAGTCTAAAAAATTTACTGAATCCTGCATATTTTACATTAGGTTCGAAAATGGAAATATTGATATAGAAACACCAGGACAAGATAGCAAGACACATAAGTGAGACAAATTACAAAAGAGGATGAAATGAAGTAAAATCAGTTAGGGCAGTCGTATGAGGCAAGACCAACCTCGTGGGGGAACTGCCCAGTCGGCAGAGGAAGTCCATCCGCCTCATCACAGATGTACATTTTCCCAACGTTTGAAAGTATTCGGTAGTTATTGTCAATCCAGGAGAGCGCGCGATCCCCAATAAATTGCACGAGCTTCATTATAGCGATACAGTCACCTTCGGCCGAATGAGCACCATCATGAACTGAACCAAATACACTTTCGTAGACGCAGGCAAGTGAAAATGGCCTCCTTAGTTTCTTTGGTGTTGATTGACTCAAAGGAGGACCAGTCGTCATCACTTCTTCCTCCAAATTAGAAACATCACTGCTGACCGGGACCAATTTATCAGAAAAATGTCTGAATAACTGCAAGGAGTCGGTGCAGTACACGGGGTTCCCCCTGCAATCAATGAATCCATACGACCGCATCATTACACGGAATATCTCCGCGTTTAAAAGAGGAAAATCGAAACGGTAACCATTTTGAGCGATCACACACAAGGGCGGCTCAAGACGGAGGAGAAATAGTCGTATTTGCTGCACGGCCATATCGTCAAAGTCTTTTTGATTGTACAGGTTTCTGCTGTTTAGGCCTAGTTACAAATAAAGCGGGAAGAAGACGTACCAGATATGACAGAGGCCTCCGACAATATCTTAGACATTGGATTAAAACAAACAACAAGCTTGTTCTGTGCCCGTAAAGCACAGCCGTCGCCCATCATCTCGGACCGATTCACAGCCACTAAGGCCAACTCTGTTATACGCGGATGGAACCCCTCACCCGGCAGCCCAGTGGTCTCCGTATCAAGAAAAACGATTGTGGAAAACCTATTTGGAGGCAGCTGATTCATTTCAGGGATTAATGTGGGGCTAATTTTGCCCGCAATAACGTGGGAGTCAACACGACGAACAAGGCATCAGTCCTGCAGGCAGATTAAAACAACGGCAACCAAAGCTCTCTTGGCATAAGTACGCTATAGAGAAATGCTTTCAGTGGATACGAAGGCAAGAATCAAAGTGAAAAGTACACCTCCGAGCGAGGAAGTTAAATCTGGCCAAATGAACCGCGTACACGAGAGCATGCCTAGAATAGTGCGAAAGGTTTCAAACAAGATTGTCAGCCAAATGGTACCCATCTTAGAAGGCAAACTCTCGTGCTTTAATTCCTCACATGTACGTATTAAACTATTTTCACTGTGCGAAATCGGTGTCTTGGTCTTAATTCGTTGGGAGGTCAAAATTTCAATGATTCATTTCACGGTTTAATTTAATCGATCTTCTGTCCAGGGTGGGATTTGACTGCTGATCATGCAAATAGTTTTTGATGATTAGTGGCTAGACGTGATGACACCTATGACTAGGTGTGTCGACGTCAGTAATCGATGGCCAGAACGATATTTTGACCACGACTAGCAGCCTTGTGTAAATTGAGTTCTTTTTGTGCAGAACGTGCTTGGAACCCGGATTTACCGTCTAAATACAGGCAGGGTAGTGTACAGTCCAAAAAATCTCTTCTGCATACTTACCCCCACTTTTTACTTTAATTGTGGACATGCAGTGGCTTAGAATTTTGGCAAAATTTTTATTTGCTAAACGTAGCTATTAACTAGACACTCAAATATTACTCTTTGTTTAGTGAACAATTCGTGTTACAGTCCTCAACTTTCCGCCGTTACTGTGATTTGTTTAAATCAATGCCTTCGTTGTAGGGCATCTATTATTTCGGCCGTTGTTGCGGTTTAGCGTCCACTTTGTTCATGATGTCTGGTTTTAATTCTGGGCCAGCAGGTACTTCTGTGCTGTAGGTTCACAAACCCAAGTTATGGTGCATATTACAGACCCGGTGAGCTTAGCAGTGCGAAGATTCGTGAGCTCATGGAAAACGCCCAGCGCACTATTGCGGAGAGGAAACAATCTTTGGGTTTGGTAGGTGGTTTTTAAGTTATCTAGATTTAACTAGGAAGGAATTCCTGCCAAACCTCAGCTTGTACCACAGGGACTCATTGCAGATCCGGAAACTGCAGAGCGAGCCCGAAGAGCTGCTGAACTTCAAGCCAGAATTGCTTCAAGGTTTGATTCCCTCGTTAATGGGACAGAAGCTTCGCCACTACCGCAAGAAGATCCTGTCAGGTGTGATCTACTTTGTTCTAACTTGTTACTCTTATAGGAAAGAGCGTGAACAGATGAGGTTTGGTATTTGTCGCTATGGCTTCGATGCATTCTATTTAGGAATCTTATTTTCGATGAACATGGCAAAACAATCGATGCTGTAACTGGTGAAGAAATTCGTATACCTCAGCGGACGCCCACCCTTAAGGTTGCAATTTGAACATTTGTTACTGTTCTTATTTTAGGCAAATGTGAGGGCGCAAAAATCCCAAACCGTTAAAGGGACTACTGATGGAACGAATAACAAAGATTCTTCGAGAGCGTTGGCTGCTAGTCGTTATTTCGATCCTCGACTCAGTTTGAAAGGTACTGCAAGACCAAGGAGGTCTCTATCATTCTATGAACATGGGAAGTTTATAAAAATTGGTCAGCGCTTGCGAACCAAGGCTCAGTTGGAGAGGCTGCAAGAATCTGTTGCCCAAGCGGCTAAACGCACTGGCATCGCTAGCGCTGCTAAGCTGGCTACGATTCAGCCCAAGCGGCATGTAGATGAAACTTCTGTACCTAATTTGGAATGGTGGGATGCATATATCATGAAAGATGGAGTAACAAAGTAAGTGTGCTTTTGGGCTGATACCTATTTAGCTATGGGGCATCGGATGACGATGATGTGGGGAAGCTCATAAACGAGTCGTGGATTACTGACTTGATTGAGCATCCAATAAAAATGAGAGCTCCGACGGATCTAAATAAGCCTCCTGAAATTCCTCTATTGTTAACCAAAAAAGAGCGAAAAAAGCTGCGCCGGCAGAACCGTCAAGAGGCACAAAAGGAGCGTCAGGAGCGCGTCCGCCTCGGTCTGGAAAAACTGCCAGAGCCTAAGGCTAGTTACCCCTCTGTCATAATTTTCTAATGAGTTTGTTTCTCCTGAGCCAGATTTGGCAGTTCGGTTTTATTCGTCATCTATACGCTTTGCAAAGTTTTGTAATGCCAAAAATAATGCAATGTTGCACCGACTAATCGAATGGAAATTTAACAGTGTAGTTGATTGACATCCCTAGGAATGTATAATGGATTTGCATGTTAACGTGCTTGTTTTCTATGTAGGTTAAATTGGCCAACTTAATGCGAGTGTTGGGTTCAGAAGCTGTACAGGATCCTAGCAGAGTTGAGGCCTATGTTCGTAAGCAAATGGAGTCTCGGAAGAAGGCACATGAAGCCGCGAATGCTTTCCGTAAACTGACAAAAGAACAGGCTAGGTTCAAACGCATTCGAAAGATTCGCGAAGATACATCTGTTCGAACATACGTGGCTGTATACAGGTGACTAATTCGGAAATATTGGTTGGACAATTTGAAGTTTTTTTTTACTCTGTGACTAGATTTACACTTTTCGAATGGCTGTGCCTTACGGTTTTTAGGTGGCGATAAAGGGTTTTTAGACGAATCCCGTATCTGATTTTCTAATAGTAAAACGATCTTTTAGAGTTCGAGACCTTACAAATCCCGCCCACCGCTTCAAGGTGGAAACAAATGCCAACCAACTTTTCATGACTGGTCTTGTGGCGATGCACAGCGACTGTAATGTGATTATAGTTGAGGGTGGACCTAAGCAGCAACGTCGATTCAAGCGTCTCATGCTGCATCGGATAAAGTGGTTGGAAAATAAACGCGGTATTGTCGAATCGGAAGTCGCCAATTCTACCTGTACTCCGTGCACACTCGTGTGGGAGGTAAGCCTATTTCGATTTCAGGTGAATCTGGGTCAAAAATGGTAGTAAAAATCAGTTCTAAATTTGGCCGTTTTAGGGCACCGTTAAACAACGCGCCTTTGATAATATGCAAGTAAAGGTCTGCCCCACGGAACTCTTTGCACGGGAGCTTTTTCGAAAGCGCGATGTGGAACATTACTGGGACATGGCTTACAGCGGTGCTGTAATGGAATCCGTTGGAGATGCTGGAGATTAGTCATGATTGTTGGAGTCATTTTCTAATGTATATAATAAATTTTTGCATGCTATCTCAACTGTTGTTCAATAGGATTATATATACCGATCCAATTTTGGTATTTCACTACTACTCAAGCCGCGGGTTTCTCCAGAGAAAGTAAGTCTTGTCGTTCTGTTGCATTCGCTGGCGTTGTCCTTGCTTGCAGTGTAGCTTAGACGGAGGTGAAGCGGTTTATTTGGACGCTCAGCTTTTTTTACACAATGAAATAATTTGTCAGGGTGAACTGATAAGGTTTTTATCTCAAGGGTACTGCTTGTCTTTTGATCGTTGCCGTGTGCCCTTGGTTTAGAACTAGATTTCATTTGCCTTTACATGCTAGATCTGATTATAATGGAAGTGGATTTCTGGGTTGTTAAAGATGGACGGCTGGCCTCGCAGATTGCTTTGAGTACGCCTTAGTTAGATGCTTCACACTTATGAAAAACTTCACATCTTCCTAGTCTCTTGTCTTTGAATTTGGTGTGTCATTATCAATTGGTGAAGAGTATTGTGGCAGAAATTGCGCCTGCAGATGTTTTATTCCAGTACACTGCTTTCGGGTGCATTGTCTGAACCGCCCTTTTCCTCGAATACTAGAATCTCAGTTTCTCAAACTTGGTGGATCGCAAGAACTACGCCTTAAGATTTTCGATTTTGCAAGTGATTGTCAAAAGCATATCTTCATCTCTGCATCAGCGATCGATCTTTCATAGGTGTGGAAGGATCGGGATTGTCGAAGTCACTCGTGATTACATTGCATAGCATGTGAACTTCGGTTTTCACTGCGCCAATATCCATTTATCGACCTCTCGGTGGGGGACAGATTTGTGATCTTATGAATGAATAGATAGAGAATTCCGATCTCGATGTGGCCCAGCTGTTCTAGTTTTAACGTACGAACGCCCCCGGTGTGGCGGAAACATCGTCTTGAAGACCAAGGGTGTGGCACCTGTCCTATTTGATCGGCTTGCCCCGTCTAGTGGCAAAATTTAGAAAGCTGTTTTAGTGAAGAAGAACTCTTAAAATTTGATTAAATTGTCAACCACGCCGATTTATAATGGGGTGGTTGAAACCAGATTGGATTGCTGAGTATTTCTGTCCTGCATTTCCCTCTGCCCTCGACCACTCTTTAAAAAGTGCATGAAGATAGTCAACATAAATTTGCACCGATCGGTTAAGTTGCCTTTCACTTTGGTCTTTTAATGCTCTGTAAATCGAATTTGCTTGCAAGTTTGGGAAGTACTTTGAACATATTCCCTCTTCATTTTAGTTCCAAACCAGAGTGTTAGTTGAATTTTCACAAACATAAGGATTTAATAAAAAAAATGATGTTAGCCCCAAGACCTAAATTTCGAAAACCAGGCTGTAAAACCGGTCGTCTCACTCTGGGCGAACTTTTAGATAGTTTGCGGAGGGCTTGGTGTTGTCTTTGTGTTAAACCTAACAGTCAGTTCCAAAAATACGCGGAGATATGTCAACAATTTCGTAGTGGATGTTTTAATAAATTATTTCCTCCCTTGGTATAGATTTCGTTCAAAAAGGATTAATGTTTTGTCCGTTCCTTGGCATCGCAATCCACTAAGTATGTGCTTCGCATTGATTCATGTTCCAAATTTGTCAAACTGAAGATGTGACAATAACGAGCTGCTGATTTCACAAGGCCTTACAGCTCTCAGTGTGGGTAGTCTGTTCAGAACAACTGATTTTGTGTGCAGCCTAGGGATACCTATATCTCGTAACTGGCTAACCGCGAGTACTATTAAAATGCTTAATTATTTAAATTAGTCATTAGATTAGAAAGTGTGAGCGTTTGCGTAGGCTACTTCCCTACTACCGTTAGAAAATTAACATTGCTGGGGTTTGTTGTTCGATGATGTCACGCGGAGCAACGACTTTGAGTGAATTTAAGATAGTCACATCAATTCAATGGACGTGAAACCTTACTTAAGGGGGTTTTAATAATTTACGTTCTTTACAACTTGAAATTACCGTTTTAGACCTCGGATGTCCGACCTCGTACGCAGTTTCTTTTTTGGGACTTTGGCCTTTTTGGGCTCCTGGAGTTTGCAAATAAATTTTTTCGTGACATCCTCTAACTTTTTGTTTATTTCAGAGATTTAGTTTTATTTTCTTTGAAACTCAAATAAATTTATTGATGTAGGTAATGTCCAACTTTGAGTTAGGTGTTTTGCGATTGAGTTGTCAATGCTGCTATTGTATTGACATTTCCCCATATTAAAGCTCCTACGGAGCCCACATATAGGCTTTATTGAGTGTGATTTAGTGTGAAGACATCTAGTTTGTTTAATTACCGTGAACAAGTCACTTAACCGGGAAACAACCACAATGTGTTGTGAGAAGTTCATTTTTGTGAATCAGAATCATCCTAGCGATTGCGGCGTTTCGTTAGCTACACGTGGTTGGGATGTAATATTTTCGATCGCTACGTAGACAAACGCCGTCGTAATCACTTGCTGATGAACAGGAATTGGACGTCTCCAAAGATAACCGGTTCAAACGGTGCTACGCATGATTTGAACCAGGTCGCTCGTGAGGTACCTCGGAGTTCACGTGCAAGAAACCGAGTGCCTACCGCTTTTAATTCTGCGGCCTGTCCAGCTCCTAGCAATGATAGGCAGCTGCGGCCAACGAAATTAAGAGTCTTAAGGAAGAGGTGCGAGGTGGTCAAGACTCCTTTGGAACTTCCAGCCCAAGTAACTACCAGCAATGCGCCCAGTGGCTCCGCAAAATCTTTTGTTTCGGAGAATGTCCTTGATTATTACCAACCTCCAGGCAAGTAGCTTGAACGTTCTTTGCGTACGAAGGAAAAAGATTGTTGAATGTGCATGCACCATATGCTTAGTACTGTGTTATTCGATTAAAACTGACGTTTTTAATAATGTGGAAAATCTACTAAATCTCTCTTGCTGAAAATCCTTTTCAGTATTTTAAATAGGTTCAATCTATGTACATTTTCCAATTTCCACTAAGAGACGTGGAATAAATGTGTCTGATGCAATAAATGTAGATTTGTTTCTCAAATTTATGATCTCCCTGAAGCATCTCACGTCTGGGATTGTAATCTCCAGAAAAAGTGGAAGAGAGTTGTGTTTGGGGGCGATTTGCGTCACGCGGAAAAAGGAAATTCAGGTAAACGAAGTACGGATGCAATTCCCGACCTATCCAGCGAGTTCACCGCTGGTTCTGTCGTTTGGGCAAAACTATCTGGTATGTCGTCGTTTCAATTCCTGAACAATTAGCTAGACGAATAATTCAGGTCCTTTTAAATGCTCACGTCATAACAGTATTTGATATTACTCCGATTTTTTATCGAATTTTATGCCCTTTTCGTTTCAATGTCATCTGTTTTTTGGTGGCATAATCTAACTCTACTTATTTAATTTCAGTAAATGTTAACTTTATCTAGTTTGCCGAATTGAATTAACCCAGTTACTTTTTGATTACGATATGATCATCGCATTCTATGATGCTAGAAGTTGATAAGTGAATAGACTACGGGCTTCGTGATACTATTATCGAGAGAAAACTCAATGTGAGTACGTAGGCGGTGACGTTTCAGTTCAGGTGTTCACAATCGTATGCGCTTAAGGCAGTTTTTTGAACACTGCATGCTCTGCTTTTCAAAACTGTAGGAAGAATCGCTTACTTGAAAGCTTGCGGTGAGATTAGGGTTAGCTTGTTCACTACTACTCCGAGGGGCTTACCAAATTCACTGAGTTCGTCTCCGTTCATATTTAGTTCCAGCTTTTATGAGCTATCCTTTGAGTTTTATTAATGGCATTTTTGGAAACAAGCATTATTTCAAGTTAAACAGCACTATATGGACGGTAGAAGTAGAGAAAGGGTGGATGAATGGTATAATTTAAGATGGTTTCATTCTAAGTCTCCAAAAGCAAACCAAGAATTTATTTTCCTAATGTCACTATTGCTGTTTTTCTTCAGTCTAATTCACAGTCGTAAAGCGTTACTGCACTTTTAGTATTCGCTCAATCGTAGCTCCCATTGCGTTTTTTATTTTGTTAGCATATTGTGTCACACCCACGCAGCTAATTAAAATGCGTTGGCAGCATTACTCACAGATGTTGCCGTCATCATCTTTGAGGCTGAAGCGCACGGTAAAATGACTCATGAAAAGGTCATTCAAAGTTACGATTAATTTTTTGCTACTGGTAAGCCTTTTGATTGAGCTTTTTACGTAGACTCGGTGAGGATGGACAGAGATACCTGGATTGGGTGCAATTGAAAAGTATACATCATTAATTTATGAAAAATTGTGGTTAACGTACTGTTTCAATAGCCACCGAATCCGACTACCCGCCAAATTGTTATGCGTGCATGTCATTCGGTAGGATCTTTACGCCAACGTTTTGAGTTTGCACCGCCTTGGAAATGGAACGAACAGTTGTGAGGTATATTGGCTCATATGATTGCACGCGTGTAAATCACTCTCCGTAATGATGCACTCAGTGAGTGTCTTTTTTAAGTGTATAGAATCCTGCATGTCTGACCACGTTTGCTGTGCCATCAAGTGACTATCAGTGGCCGTAAGATGAGAATCGACTTCTTCCACCCATTATATTGTGGAAGTGACATCTGATTTACTGAATCAGAGGATAACATTATGTCGTTTTAGTTAATCCGTTAATAAGAATTGTCATCGATCGCTTGCTTAATGAGCCATAATACTTACTTAAAGAACATACCAGTAATGTTTTGACAAATAATTTAGCAGAAATACGGAACTTTGTTATGCTTCCAAAGGTCTGGTAGATTTGACGGGTACACTATTCCGAGCGTACGACTATCATTCCTATTTTTCAAGATATTGAGATTTTTCTCTTAGTGAAGATATTTTCAGAATGCCACTGGAACCTTATGAGGGAAATAGTGACGCAGTGTTTCAACAAAATGAAAATGCACCAGCTATGTTAATGAGGTATGAAAAGGATCGCATTCCTGCAAGTTTCTACGCTTCAAGCAGATCAGCACTTTTTCGTAGCTAAAACACAAAATGTGCAACTGATAGAGTAAATACCTGCAAATTAGTGAAAGACAAGGCCTAAACTGTATCTGCTCTGATTAACAATGGTGATTCGTATTTTATATGCGGAAGAAAATCAAGTTTGTGATTAATCGATGACCAACAATTATTATAGTTCTCGTAAAATGATACATTTGAACCTGATTAATCAGGCTGATTGAGATTCAAGAACCCCCTGAAAGAGTGCCTACATTTACATTACAACGTTTTTCTATTGCTTACCACTTTTTAAGTACTGTATATTATAATCGTTCATGACAGATTTTTCTACATGCGCAGTTTTTTGTGAATGAACAGAGTAATGCTCAACTTCATTAATGCCAAATGCGTTCGGCAGTGCAGTATTATTAACATGTCACGAAAGCTGAAATTATTATTAAGTGTGCGTATTTGGTTTTCGGGAATTTCACTCACAATTGGTCCAATTCACTTAAAAATTTGCTTTTTGGAATCGATGTATCCCTAAGAACTGCACTGTTACCCAATAATATACATTTTGAATGCTTCGGGGGTTTCTGAGTTGCTATATCTAATTTGTTTCTTCAAGGATTATTTATAACAGTTCCGAATATTCAGTAAACCTCTATAACGCAGCGCCTCCTTTCCTACCTAAGATCATACTGAGCCATACCCATATGGAGGAAGATTTACTATGAAAGTATGGATGGACTGAGAAGCTATGGGTATGATCGGAAGCTTGTGCCACCGAAAGGTTGGTGAAAATCACGAGGCTAAATGCACAAAGCAAATACCGTTTTGTTACTATTACCCGTTGTTTTAGTATATTGCCATAGGGCACAAAGTGTTGGCTAAATGTGACTTGCGTGATGGGACTTGTCTAGGTAAATTAGAAGTGTTCGAAATCCACACTTAATATGTGACTTCTGAAAGTTGCTGAAAAGTTCTGCGAATCCCACTAGACCCACCTTGTCACTTGAACTCATTTTAATGCTCTCCTGCGAATGCAGAATTGCTAAAAGCAAAGGCGTAGCGTTGTATAACTTAGGGCGCTGTGGTTTTTAGTGGAACCCATGTCTATAATAAGATGAAAGTACCTTTGGTGGAAAAATATGCTAAAATTCATGTGCTTTAGAACAGAGACTAAAAGCCGAGTATTCGAGACAGATGGAGGTGAACTCACGTGCAACTAGTCACTGACGTGTTACTTCTACTGCTATATTAGTTGGTTGTGCTGCGAATAAGCATGCACCCAGCACCCCTAAAATACCATTGGCTGAAGTTCTGAGGAGGATGTGTGTGCATGAATGTGCGCGCAGTTGCTGAGCCTCGATAGCTGCCAGCGAACTCCACCTAGGGTTGCTTCATACAGTTGTGGTTCTATTCATCATTGTGACGCCATGAAGGTAAAGATTGTTCACAACTCGCAGAAACTCTTTAACATTAATGTCACCGAGAAGACGACCATCAAAGACCTGAAGCAGGCCATTAGTCGAAACATCGGCTTGCCACCTGAGGATCAAGTTCTCACTGTTCGTGGAATTTTCCTCGAAGATGAGCATTCTCTTGGCGACTATCGGCTTCCTAAGCCCGATATGGTTGCTCCTATCGTTCTTTACCAACGAGCAAGTTATAGAAAGCCAACATCTATTCGCGTCTCTGTTTCTGCCGACAAAACTGTTTACCTGTCGATCTGTCTAGATTCTAAAGTAAGCGAATTGCGTTCAGCTATTGAGGAGAAGCTGAACATCTCTACGAATGAGACCTCTGAGATGCGCCTTATCTTTGACCATTGGATTCTGGAAGATAGCGAAGTTTTGGAGCATTACGGTATCAAAAAGAATTCATGTATTGTTGTCGCTAGACGTTTTGTTGGTAGTCCTCTTAATGATGCAGAGGAACACTCGAAAAAGTTATCCAGGCAAAGTGATGTGGTACCTAAAATAAGGCTAAATATTATGACTCGTGATGGCGAGGTCTTTGATTTCTCTTTCGTGAAGAAGGTCACGCTCTGTGAAGTTGTTGGAGAGATAGAGAGGAAAACTGGCATTCCCGCGGCGCATCAAATCTTTACTCTACGAGAAGATCTTCCACACGTGACCGATCTGACGAAGAGCCTGGAGGAACTCGGCCTCAACGATGGCGACACAGTGTACCTGGCAGACGCTCGTTCTACTAACAATGAAGTCAAAAGGAACGCGCCACAGAGTCCCAGCAGTACTACGATGGTGCTGCACTTCAGGGACAGGCAAAATGCCTTTTCCATTCCGATGTCCCATGAGGCCACAGTGCAGGATGCGATGGATTCATTGAGAAGGGAGATTAGTGGGAATCCTGGTCCCCTTTGGTTGAAAAACACAGTGGATGGGAATTACATGCAAGACTATGGGACACGGTTGTCTGATCTCGGTCTAAAAGATGGCATGACTATTGAGTATGTGTATCTTCCAGCCAAAACAGAATGGACTTCGAAATGAATTAACGCCTTTGTGTATACTTCCTCATTTAAGTGAACTGCTCTGTAATAAATACCGTTTTGCGATGCTTTTGCTATACGTTATTACTCTAATTATTTACTTTATAGTGGATTTTAGCATACTAAATACACGGTACTTGCGTTTTGCTTTCAGTTCGCCTGACTCCAAATCAGTATATTCACTTTGATAACTTAACTGTGCAGCAATTTTCCAGATTTCTTGAATTTATTTGCTTACAAGTCTTAACTGTATTGGCTGATATACTCTTCATAACAGATATTCCTGATAATTGTCATAACGAATCGAAGAAATAGGTTTTGATGTGGTACCTTCCTCTAACTGGTTTTTTGCGCTTCGTACATACGTCTGAATCTCTATGGTTAAGGATGCATCACTCCAGCTAATAATCAAATAAGTGTTTGCGTATTGTAGCTGGAATTGCATGAGTATTAATTTTCATGCGACTTACTCTCTTTCAAGATGCTTCAACAAGATTTGAAGTCGTCGAAATTTTTAATTTGCCATATTGGTTTTATGTCGAAGGCTGGTTTAAAATGGGCTGGCAAGTAATGCATTTTTCACGGTGGTCCATTACGCGATTGTCACTCCCCTTTCATGACTTTTAGTCCAGTCAGACTTTTTAAATAAAAATCAGCGTATTGATATCGGACATATAATTGAAATACAAGCTGCAGATTTTACTCTCAACAGTTTTTTTGGATCCTAACAATACTTCTCATCCAGAATCTCGAGAAAATATCCTATTTTACCGCGTATAGGGTAAACGTGCAGGCCATCGGTACATCTAAGTATAGTTGTTTATGAACATTAATGCACTACCTAACAGATGACTTCTGTGATACCGGTGATTTTTTGTTGACATTCGGAATGATCACTTGCGAAATATTTTGCGCTAACCCCAAAGGTTTAATCTGGTGGCCGGCAATGGTAGATTTTGACGAGAGGGGGCTCTATGCCGACTACGATCCAGTGACGCACAAGGCGACTCACTATTGGGTGGTGTCTCTCGAACCTCACGTCACGACAGCCAAGCACATTCCTGCTCTTTGTTTGCGGGACTATGTACCTGGAACACTCATCGATGAAACACTTAAGGTAATAATGATTGACAATGGCTACTACAATGCCGCGTAACTATAAACGAGAAAAAGCGGAATATTATTACTGTGCAAAAATTCCTATAAAAATGTGTTTTATAACATACTATCAAGCGTGACAGAGCTTTATTGAACAACCTTTACTACTTCCCCGGGAAACACTTACCAGTGAATTTTGGCTTAACAATAACTTAAAAGCAATTCTGCCCCTCCGAGCAGTTACTACACAGCCATACATTGATGTTAGCTTCACATTTTACATGGAACTAGGAAATCATCTCCTATAATCTAGTTCATTTTTTTCATAATAGCAGTAGTAAGCGCTTGAATCACAAATGCATTATCTAAGATGTGTGTTGACACCTACCATTTCCATCAGATACAGCACAGTCATCTCTTACGCGCCAAATGCTAAATTGCTTCTTGTTGATGATAAGATGATCTCTTTACATGTGGTTTTCTTTTCACGAACGTGGCTTAATCATTCGCAAAGACTACTTATGAGTGCCCCTCGGGTGGTCTTTGCATTTGGCTGCTTCCAAGCACCTCCAATGGGCTAGATGAAACGTCAGCCAGATCCTTGTAGCACTGTTAGGCACCCAATGGCATTTTCTAGGCTTCGAGGCGTAAGCAAAGTGGGGTGCATATATGGCCACTTCGGCGTTTGGTTGCAGGTGAATTTCTACTCATCTTTACTTGACAGTGGGCCGTTTTCATCATGACTATTGGTTCTAATTTATTGTAGGTTTCACATATTCGTCACTTATTCGCTACGTCAGATGTATTCGCTGTTATGAATGAAGCCCCAGGCATAAAGTATATCAAATACCCCAAGTAGATGATCGGCTGAACCCTAAAACTTGTGTGGTCTTCCCCATTGATTATGCTACATATTTGTATCCGCACCACGTTGGCATATTTTAAAGTCAAAATACCCAAGTGAATCATTCGTTTACTTGTCACTTTCGCCAGTGGACGTGCATTCCCAGATTGTTTCACCGTTAGTATGCTCAACTCAATTACGACTGAGTTTCAAAAGCACCTCATCTTTATCAATGTAAACTGACCTTTGTATCATGAAATGCTAGTCTATGTACATTACCGTTTGCCGTATTATCAATGCAAAATGAGCTTTCGAGACTGTAAATGGTTTCATTAACTTAAAAATGCGTATAAATTGCCCTTATAGAAAAGTAAGCATTGGTCGCGAATCGAGAAAGCTATTGAAGCAGCCGAAGATGCTTTAAAATTACCTATCCATGTGAGTCATTCAAATTTTGGTACTCTCTTTTTTAAGTAGAATAGTTGTTGCTATGTCGACCCTTCAGACGCGGATAGAAGGTTACGGGTACAATTACTCCGAAAAAACGCAAAATATTTCCAAAAAAAGTTCTCTTAGTAAACAGCGGAAGAATGAGACACGTCGATTTTCCACCAGAATAAGAAATCAGAAGGGAAACAACTCAAAAAAGGTACCGCCTAGGCATCAAGGTGCGAGAAAATCGTATCAGAAAGCAATCGTGGAGGATGTGAGCATTCCTCTTGTGGAACAGGTACGTATTAACATCCATCTTAATCGCTTTTATTGGCACAATCGTTTATTATGAAAATATCCGTCTAGATATTCTACTATCCATGAACTAACTACACTAGATTTGGAAATTCATTCAGTCATTGCTAATGCGGATTTACTTTGATGTGATTTACAAAAGCGTTATGGTATCCATATTTGGGACAATATTTTGGTTGCGTCCCTGTTCACCTTTGTATCTAATTAAATTTTATCCAGTTCCAGTATTTTTTAGTGACATTGCCGAAGGAATCTGTCTTCTAAGTTAGTTGTCTGCCCACGCTTGTTCGTTTTATTGTCTAAATCATTGGCTGCCGTGGTTTGCCCAACTCCAATTTATGTACTTCAACTAGGACTAAGATCGTGTCTTTTTAAACTGCTACGACTCGTAGCCTTCATGGTTCAAGCATTGAGACTTTTGATTCATGGTTCTCCACCATTGGTTGACTTTTCGACCAGCCTTATGAATAAATAGTTCCGTACTCCAACGGTGCTCACTTCATCAACCTTATTTTTGTGTAACCCTAAACTCAGGTTTAAATATACTCTTGAACGATGGTTTTATCTTTAATAAGCTAATTTCGGGTGACTTAATACTATGCATACTTTAAGCCATCGTTACAACGGATCTGGAATTAAGAGGGAGTGAGTATTGGAGGAACTTTGGTTAAGGGTCTCTGCAGTCTAACTACCCTGACTGCTGGACTTCAGAAAGATGAAATTCTCGTATGGACGGTTGAGTTTCTAAGTTCTCTCCCCTTTCTAGTAGATAAAATCCACTGGCACTAGTCTAACCATCTCAGATGCACTTAGGTGACTCAGTGCAGTAGTGGAAGTTACGTGCTTTCATTCGTAGAATCTAAGTATGAACGAAATAATGGCCGTACATTGAGACGTCGGTTTACTTCAAATATGCACGTCTTTGTCTTGTTTCAGTGCTTAAAATAACTGAAATCGCCCTCTTTTCCCTTAAGGCAGTCCTTAAAAGACCTCGGAAAATCCCCTCGGCGCACCAAGTTAGCAGGGCATTTCTTCCTCAAGGAGTCCCTCCTAACTCCGGTGGAAGATCGACCATTCAGGAGCCATTGCAAGGCGAAACTTTTTTTGATTTTCCAAACTGCTTTTTGAAATGTATTCCAACAACCTCAACTCAAAAGACCAGTTCGGAAAACTCCAACAGTCATTTCGCGCACACCTCTGGCTCACCGAAAATGATTTTTTACGAGCAATTTTTGAAAAAAAATTTTCCTGGTTGTACCCGATCAAGGGAGGGAAGGAACTCTGGCAGTTACGAGTCAACCGCTGAGGAATCAATAAAGTCTAGAACGTTTTGCATACATGATAGCTGTTTCAACAAGGAATTGATTTCTACGACTTCATTACGAGGAATTCTTTCGAAGGATTTGAATGGTACCATCTTACTCCTTGTTAGTGCATCGGTGATTACACTTGATTTAGGTCACAAAAGATCAAACTCAATGGTCAATTTCATCAAAAGTGCCATCAAATCGAAATTGGAAGGAAGGGCATCCATGATCAGGCAATTGAGCGTAATAATTACAAATTTGCCTTTTCATCTCCAGCTAAAACCTGTAGAATGTCATACACACGCTTTCAAGTAAAATCTCGCAGTTTATTACTTAACGTTCTGATTAATACTGTCAATGTTTTTTGCAAATTTCTCATTCAGAATTCGTTCGGCGCTCTTGAAACAGTTGTGCAATATAAGCTCATTTTGCAGAGCATGATGGTGGCATATGTCCAGAATAATCATAGTAAAACAAAACTTCGAACCTTTTCAGCATCTACAAAAATGAATTTTTCCAGGATACTTTTTTCCCAAATTGTATCTCATAAGATCTTGTCTATTTATGGGCAAAATTCTGACACAAATATACCTGTATGGTAGGATAACAGAACTTGATGTTAAGAGTATGCTATGCAAATTCAACAATAGTTAATGCTTGAGACAATTATTAACCCTGTAATTAAACCATTCCCCAGTCCCCTGCCTTATAGTCTGGTTTTTTTCGGGACCCATTTTATTAGTAAATAGGGTCTATTTTTTAATGTACTAGACTAAAGACATTGTCTCGAGAAACCTTTTGTCCTCGGGTTTGAAAGGATAATGAGAAATATCATGAACCCGTTGGCTGTAAATGAGTAGTTGGGTTTATTCAAGCTGATGTTTTATCACCCATGGCGAGATGCGTGATAGACGGACTGTTTGCTCGCGGTGAAATGACACGTTGTTCCATGTTTTTAGCACCCAGATGTACTCGTTTTTACAAAGTTCGCTTAGGAAGGTCACTCATGAAGGGGAAAGCGGGAAAAATTGCAGTGTTTCTGGTGTATCACGGAAGTCACGTATCTTTTCGAGCACTTTGACTGGGTTAGGGGACTCACAACTGCCCCTATCGGGACTGCCGTCGTAGTGTCGACCAGTTAGCGTCTCTAGAGAAATGCAGTATATGTAGCGGGCGAGATGATGTTGGCTTCCACTGCTATCCGACGACGAGCCCATGGTCAGACAAGCCGAAGATGCGTAACCCGTAGTTTCCTGGACGTCGCTTTGCTGCGTTGGAGAAAGCACAAAATTGCTTCCCCCTGGATAGCCAACCACACTCTCGTTGCTGGTTACTAAAAAATAATATTTTTTGATATTCTAGCGAAATAGCATGGTCTCATCGCTGACCAGATCCCACAATGCACTCTAATATTCAAAGTCAAGATCAGTTAAATTTTAGCATTGGAGTCGGATATGATTATCTAGGAGGTTCAGACAGATAAAAAGTGGCGTCTCGTTCTTTTGGCGGAAATATGCGTAATTAATTCAATGGGATTTGAAATTTTGTTTGATTATCTACATTCCCCAAACGAAAGCCATGTACGAGGCAGGGCGCTTGAGAGCATGTGCTCAGTAAAAAGGGTTTAAAAGGGGGTCGGCATTTTGATAGAATCCTTAGCAGAAAGGACAAAACTCACTAGCATTAGATTTCCTGCTTCTACTTGGACTCCCACTGCGTTGAGGGGGGGTCGCCTGTCGTGGATGCACTAGCGGGGATTCGAGAGTCTGCAAGGAGTGCAGGTGCGGTGATTGGCATAGATCACCTGAGAGGATGCTTTGGTGAAGCGCTTCCGAACTCGAAGCAAAGTATATGTCTTGCTGTGGATACAAAAAGCAGTGGCTTACTACGCTTCTCAGTTTATTTAGCCGAAACCGGGGATTGCTTCAAAGAAAGGAACAGTGCAGCGTGTCCAAATTATGTTTTTTTTTGCCACAAGCATTCAGAAGTTGATTGACGGAATCCAACATTAGTTTACGGGACTGTGTTGTAAATTGCTTTGAAATAGAAAAATCAGACTTACCTTAGATGAGAGGAGAAGACAGTTAGGAACTGTCATTGTATGGACTAGACTTCCATTCATTAGGAGACGAAACTCAACGGCACTCTCTGTAAAACCCAGAATGTATGGCGGCGCAAGAACTATGCAAAGAAAGGTATGGTGAAGTGAGTTTATTCCGTCATTCAATGCACGAATTTAGTTTCTATGGATGTGAGCTGTTACCAATATGCTTTGGTTCGAAGTTCCACGAGAAGTTGTAGTCAGTAGTGGCAGCTGTTTGAACACGGCTACTAGTGACAGGAGACTTAATTGCCGAGCTGGTAGTGCTAAATCCCTCGGCAAATTGATGCTCCATCCCTTCGAGAGACGAGCAAGTATTGAATATGTCTGAATGGTTATGGAATAGCAAGGACCTCTTCGTGATCCTCTGCAGGTAACAGTTGCCTGATTGTGAATAAATTTAAAGGAACAATAGTACAATGTATACTGGTGGTTGTGTCGGAGTTCTTTGGAGCTCCATTACAACCCAGTACACTATCGCAAAAGTACAATAATAATGAGCTGACAAATGCAAATATTGAAGTAACTAATCAACATGTGCTTCGATGTGTTTGCTCTCCCACGAAACTTTCTGCGACAACTAGAATCAAAAGGTATCAATAATTGTTCGTCCAAATTGCATCCGTAAAGGAAGCAGCACTATTAATACAGCTATCTAATTCTTTATGCAGACAAACTTCTACTTTATGTAGGGATAACTAGTGTAAAGCACTTTATGGTTTTTCGAGCATGGTGTTCTGCATTAAAGTCCCCTCAAATCTGCAAATTCTCTGAAAACAATAACGTCCGCCATATCACGCACCCTTTGGAGGAAAATAGAAACTTCACAATTTTGCGTCCGTGTCTATGCTCCCTAAACACGGAAGCATTTTCGCAAGTAATCAGCAATTCTTGAAAATGCAACTTCATAGAATTTGCGCAACCTTTTTTCTTCAATAAACAACTGCGGTTCATGTTTGCTCTCTGGAATTTCCTAAAAATTATTTTATGAAAGCCTCTAAAGGTTTAGACAGTAGCTAGCTGTGCTGAGTACTACTAAATCATTTTGATGCTTTCGTTGTTCTCTGCAAGGAAACCCTCATTGTACTCCATACTACACAATTCCCCCAGTTGTTTCATTTGTGAAGAGACACGCAAATACCCATTTTAGCCATGTGCGCTTTTGTAAGTTAATTCCGCCAAATTATGGCACATGGAATGTGAAACAAATACACTGGACAAAGGATACACTTCATTGAAATGTTAAGGTGGGTTTTTATGAAAGGATTAAATGTTGGTGTACTAAAATTTCTAATTTTTGCTAGTTTGATGTTCTTACGATTAAAGCAAAGGAGGAGCTCTAAATCATCGTCCGAGCGTATCTCCACCACAGCAACAGCCTGGTTTTTAACGTTTTCGGTCCGATAGAGGTGGAGCGTCTCGCCAGTGCGTTCGTCCAGCAGATCGAATTGGTTACGGTAGCCGGCGCAAATACGGCCGCCCATGTTGCTGTCAAGCATGCTTAGCACTTGAACTGCCTCGCTTGTGGGAATTTCCTAAGAAAATGAAAAATTCTGGTAGTTATAGGAAAAACCATTTAGCATCATCTCTTGTTTAGCATGAAATTTTGTCACTACAATGGATTTTGGAGTTGATAACACTATGCGAAAAGATTTGAAGGGGGCGCATTCTTTTGGTGAAAACTAATTATTTGAAGGAGCTGGAGATAGGTTTACTATTCAATGCAAACGTTGTATCCCAAGATTCGGGATGTGCGCTGGCGACTGCACGTTTTGCATGACTCTCTCATGTTAATGCCGATGCAAGGGAAGAGCAGCCAAATCTCGGTGCACTTACGCGAACGAAAACAAAGCGAGCTGAAAGCTCAGAGTAGGTGAATTGATTCCACGAGGATAACGACCTGCCGGTGATCTCCACTTGCCATTGGTAAATGAGGAGTCGTTTACCAACGGCAAACACTAGCCGTAGCGGCCTCGTTGCTGAAGTACTCGTTGAGAATATGTGACAACCTATGGTGAGCAGGAATGTTTTGTTTGCAAAAAGATGTTGCTACTGAGAAATATGCTTATGCATTCAAGTTGCTTGCAAAATAGTCAATTGCTTTACCCCTTGACCGGTCCAACATGTGCTTTTTCACCAGAACACGATCGATGACCTCCGCGAGAGGCAAATCGCTCAGCTGTAGCACAGAGATACGAGACTCTCGACCTGAATAAGACAACTTTTGTCAAAGAACTGGTCGTAATTGGCTTAGCGAATTAATACAATCTTTCTATAAAAGAGTCACGATAAAAGTTAGTGCAGCAACCAGGTATCGCTCGAAACAAAACGTCAAACACAAAAAGGAACAAGCTAGTACCAATCTACTTATTAGTAGAACTTTACTAAAGGGATTCACTCCTATTTTATACTCATTAGATGGATAAAGGGTTGGTGGTACCTTTGTCGTACCGGATGATCATGACACCGAAAGATTCTGCCACCTTGATCTGCTTCACGTCAACGCTCTTGTCAATGAGAAGAAGAGGCTGCTGGTGTTCTACAATATATGTGGCCGAAAAGAACCTGCTATGTGCAGATGTCCATTAATAACTACCGTGGAAAGTCTAAAAGTCCTTCGGTTGTCAATATAAAGATTAGCCCTATGGGGACCAGATAAGCTGCACAGGTAATGCGGGTTGGTGTACTTGCTAACATCAAGAAAGCTAAGTACCATTTCAAAAACGATCAACTGAGTCTATATTAGTATCGTAAGTACAACATTGCCTTATGTCGAATCACTGTTACTGATATAAGTAGCACGCTGGGATGAGCCTCAAACTCAACCAGCATGAGTAGCTGAAATACGCATTTTCGACAAGCCAAAACTACAGCCAGCCTTTGGATGGAGGCCCAAGATTTCGGTAACGAATATGGCATACTGTGGAATGCCTAGAGCACTGCCGTGAGTCCAAATTTGAACATTTATTTGACAGTTCCAATGCCAAGATAGCGACCTGCTATTATGAAGTCTGAGCAAGCTCTCTCCCCTTTTAATCCTAGGACCATGTAAAATTGATAATTAGCTTATTGGAGGTGGGCAAACCTTAAGACAGTAGACATAGATTGAGATTAAACAGACTGGAGTGGTTAAAAGTTATCTCCAAGTTATTCCAAATTTAGGGTCCAGTACACTACACCTTATTGTGTTTAAAAATGGAACCACTGCCAGTGAACATTGATTTAAAAACTGTGAAAAGTATGGAAATGGTGGGAGTATTCGAATGAAGATCAGCATTTAAGGATGTCTTGTATGCCTTACGGTGATGTTCTTACTCGTAGGAAAGAAATTTAATTCACAATTGGACTAAATCAAGATCGTAATAGCACAACTTAGCGTTGCCGTAAGAAGTGGCTGCATTTAGTGTCATTAAGCCAGGAGTTATGAGGAGTCCATATGAGTTTACCTTCAAGAGCGTAGACACCACCATCAACACAGGCCAGCAGGACTTTTCCTGCAACGTAAAAAGGCTCCATATGATGGCCTAGATAATAGATATGGCGAAAGTAGCTGAAAAATCTCACCCCAAGTGTCACCACTGGCGATGTCAGCATGCGCTTTAATATGCAAGCGTCTAGGCTGCCATGGCTAGAGATCATGAAAGTACAAAACAGACGAAGTAATAACAACCCTAACAAGTCGAAAAGTAGACCTGATTTTTGCTTCCAATGCAAGAGGGTTTCTTTAAGAAGAACTGCACAAGCAAATTTGGACGTACACTAGCATGTATACAATTAAACAGCCTTATTTCAAACCACGTTACGACAATGTCCAAATGTCTACTAGCTAGATACCTTTCATATAATTACTGAGACTTGTACGCGGATGTGCTTTAAACCTGGACAAAGGACGTTCACAAAAGAGAGAAATCATACTATATGTTTCGATATTCCCGTAGTGATACAACTTGTCGGTGCATCGCCACGAATAATTGTGTTTAGTTTCAGCATCTAAATTTGATGTAAAAAAACAGCATTCAATATTGAAGTTAAGATGTTGGATCCGGTTTCCTAGAAATCTAAAAAATCTTATAAACCAATGCTAAACTTGTAAAACAAGGCTATGAGCACCGATAGCGATTTTGATAATCTGAGAGAGTTACTCGTCATAGCAATGTTTACATAATCTTGATATGAATACTGCATTGACTTCCGGTATACAATTTTGCTCTAATAAGAGCACAACATAAAGATCATGTACAACAATCATTGACAACTTAAAATCATTTTACAAGGAAAATTTAGAGCATTACCTGTCCGAATCGAATAAAGGCGTCGTTTCGATTATGGTCTTTGGCAGACGGTGAACCCTCCGTTGAGTCTTGAACTATCTCACTGAAGGCTCTGCGGTAAGGGCCATTCGTCTGTGAGTAAAACAGCGTAAATACATGCGTGCACTTAACCTCATTAAAAGTCAACGATTCTAATATTATTGTGCTTGTTAGGTTTGTTATTACAGCTGAAGGGGTGTGGTTATTATCGGTGTTGGATTAAATGAACGGCCACGAGTAAATGCCAATAGTAGTGCTTTGTGTAAAGGTAAGACCGTCTTTACACCAACCCTCAACACCATTTATTTTGATCTTTCTACTACTTGTTTTGAGTATGATGAAACATTTACTTCAGAGTACAAAATTGTAAGTTCTGGTTTGGGTTGCCATTTGAGTAATCAGTATTTGGAAATGAAAATGCATATACAGCCGCATTTTATTTTTCCCATTTTACTGAACTTAATATAAAAGCATCACACACGACAGTGCTCTTATGGCCAGTAAAATTTAATTGTTATTCACACACAAATGAGGCAAAGTAATGAGCATAAGGCTTAAGAAGAACTAACGTAAAATCACTTAATTTAGGTGAGAGATTTCTCACAAGACTAACACTACAACTGATGGCTTAAGTTAAATCACCGCAAATTCATCGCCATGATGCCTTTACAGTAGTTGCAGTATGAAATCTTGAAACCACAGGTCGTTGCTAAGACGTGGGTGAATAATACTGTCATCGCAAATGGAAACGGAGTGGGATTAGGACTACAGATCCAAATTAAGAGTAAGGCATAAATTTGATGCTACAAATGAGAAAATGACATAATTTACACAATATCATGGAATATGTATGGAAACTTTATTAACTGAAGTCGTCGTCCGCGCAAAAAGACATGGCTAGTGGTGCATGTATCACCTTATCGGCAATCCTACTAAATCGACAGGGCAAACACCTACTCATAACAATGTAAATAATAAAACAGTTGAAGTCAGTAGTGAAAAAGTGAAGTCAACTGATAACTCATCAGATTCTGTTCAATTAAATTCGATCAATAGGAAATAGGCTTATACTGCGTGGGTAAGGCTTACGCGCTTTCCAAATTCGCAAAATCTTTAGTCTCGAGAAGTGTTAATTTGAAGATTTTATTTTTTTACGCACAAGTAGTTTAGTGGGTAATATTACTCAGTGTACCTCTAAAGATCTTACCTCGCAACTACCAAATTACCCTAATATTATGACTCAGACAATTTCATATACTAAACAGTAGGCTTTATAATACCCAGTTAAGGACGCCACGATTCAATTATTTCGGAACAATAACAACGTACATTGTTCTCAAAGCCGTATTTCTCAAGAATGTTATTCAATAGCATTTCCGATGTGCGTATTCTTTTTTGTGCAAATACAGGCGAATGAAAAGCCGCTTTTTCCCCGTTGATCACTAGAAGTAGAAATAGTGCAAAGCGCCGAGCAAAATTATATGGGGAAATACTTATTCCCATTCACGCAGTGTTTGTTAGAGCAACAGTCCATGTGCAAAATGCAGGATAGCAACAAAGGTCATTGAAGTCAACAGTGCTTATTGAAAATAAATTTCACATTAGAAAGAAAGAAGAAAAATTCTTTCCCATTACAAAGACCCCCTTTTCGGAATGTTCTTATCCTCGACATCCAGTCTGGACAATATTCTACGTTGAGTTAAGGGGAAGCGAGCATTGCCTAAGTCTCTCAAAAACAATTTTAAATAACGAACGCTTACTTTAAAGAGGAAATTTCTCAAATATTGCAAACACTCTTTAGGGTGTTTTGGCATATAAGTGTGGAGAATCGAAATGAAGTTTAACAAATCTGAAAGTTCTCATGAAGCACATAAAACAAACGAGGTGAGTTGAACAATACTATGACCTTAAGGGAGATTGCTAGTACTGCGCAAGACAGTCTAAGTTCCAGAAAATAAAGCAGTTTTAGTATGCTGAAGCTGTTGGTTAATTGACAGTTTGCTTGAATTTTATGGAGTGATTTTCTGTTGGAATAGAGACAGTATTGTTCGATGAGTCCAATTTTCAAATCGGATGAATGGAGAAAAACATTCGCTAATTGTGCCTTCAAATAGTAGAAAAAGAGTATCCCGCTTAAATTCCTACAGAGTACAAAAAGGTAACAGGCAGACTCTGCGAGAAACTAGATGCATTACCATCATTTGAGAATTAGGTTTTTTCTGAGCCAAGTCCTATCAGATAATCGAAAAAGTAATACAAAAGTCCGAACAAAATTGTTGGCCACGAAAAAATTGTTTAAATAACCCTTAGCATGCTATTCTTTTCGATTCTGCGTTAATGTAAGTATGAAATTTCGTAAATATATGCGCATACTAGTGTTTAGCCAGAAAACGCAGCCATTCAGTCTTCATACAGACTGAAATTGAATAAAATGCTACCAATATAGTTATTTGCTTAGTCGATCTTCTGAAATTATTGCAAATCGTTCTAAGGGCCTTGACATTTAAGCCAAAGGCACAAAGTGGAGCACCCAATTGGATTTCGATTAGACACACCAAATGACGCAGCACTGAGCTAATTGCCGATGCTAGCTATTGAGGATTCTTCATTTGTATTTTACTCACTGCGGAGAAGCTGTACAGGTGGTTACTTACGTTTCACAAGTAGAAAGTGGCGCAATTCCTCATGGTCCGTGAATTCTCGAGAAGTCGGTATTGTTGGACCAAAGTAGGGCACTGACTCTTCAGAGAATACCGATAGTCTGAAACATTTTGTCACGCTAATTCAAAACAATGCTAAAATTCGCATTGTGCCATATGAAAGATGAGTGGCGCCACTAACAGTCTCCCAGAAAAAAGCACAAATATGCATGCCATCACCCCCTATCAATCAAAGAATTAACGAAATTAATATTTCATAATTAGGCAACCACCCTGAAAGAGGAATATATCTTTTGTCTTCGTGATTTAGTGTGAGAAATAATGCATCAAACTCACTCCACTTTTCATAAAAATGTATTTCGTAAAACCAGCTAGTGCTAATTTAATTAAAAAACAATACAAAAATACACCTATAGTAATGTGATGATCGGGTTTAATTTACTTAGGGTGTGTGTAATGTATTCAAAGATCTATTACCACTGAGTAGAACACTTAAGATTTTGTGGCCGACCTTTTACAGGTACAGTTTTGCATGATTAAAGCTACTTCAGTATTCCACTTTAATCCCTGCTTCCAGTATGATGGCTGCGTAACCCGAAACGCCGTTAAAGTGGAGATGAGACTGCACGATATATGAAGTGAAAATTTCATATTACGTACCTGTATGCATTCGTGCGTTTATTGTAGGTAATGATGGCGAAAATGTCTGAAACGCGGGAGTTAAGGGGAAAACCAGACACCTTAACAATGATAAATAAAAGCAATAAGAAAAAGCTAGACCTACTTTTCAAAAATTTGGAATTAATAATGCCGATTTCAAAAGATTAAGCTACTTCACCACCGATAACAGGGAAAAATTACGCACATTCAAGAGTGGTGCGCGGTAAACTGTACGGAATTGATTAACATGCTTAAATTGTAGCTTCAGGCGAAATCAAAGACGTTAACATGATCAAGTCTTAGGAAATTAAGGCATCGTTGGCAAAAATACAACTGGAATTAAGAAATAGTGCCCATAGTTAGTCAGAGTGGTTGTATTTTAGTACGCAAATAATTCAATGCAAGAGATAATTTATAATTGCAGTATATTCTAAATGCCGATGGCGAGTGAACTACCTTTAATAAGTAAATTTGAATGTCACCAACAAACGTGAGATTAATGCGAAGGTAACTGCTATGACCCCACTTTAATTCGTCGTAAATACACAATATAAATAATTCCACAAACTAATATGCTTAATGTCTGGACCGGGACGTAACGCCTAATGCTCAATTATGGGACGTGAGCAGAGTCCAACTGGGCGGGCGCACATTTTAATGAGACCGCGTTAAACGAAACCGGCTCTTAAGTGTTGAAGCTCCCAATAACTTTTCTGATTAGTGCGTAAGACAAATTACAACTAAGCTAGTTAGTATTATCAAAGGATACGAGTAAAGTGTGTTTTCATCATGGAAGGTTTCCATAACAATGGCTTTTCCACATCGCTTGCGTCATAAAATATGATATTCACGATGTCATTCCCGATGTGACGTTTTCTTTCAATCTAAATAAATAAAAAAATCACAGAAAGAGGTCAATGGCTCTGATGCGTTCATGGAAGCCAACACCTACAGCTTACCAATAGCCTATATTAATTAAGTGGGTACAATTGTTAAATTGAAGCAGCGTAATAGGTTTAAATGTCAGATAATCATTTTTATATCACAAAAAATTATGAATAACATTCCACTTGAGTACTTTCGGGACCCAAGAAATCATAAACAATATAAAAAAATTAAGAATTTTGCATCTACACTAGTCTCAAATCTTTTAATAAACTGGAACACATTAAACAAAACTCAACCCGATAATTCGTAAGCTAAGAATGGATTTACGGTGGCATTACAGGGGTCAATCTAAGAAATAATATCTTCCCCAATTTGTTCTATATTGCTTTTGTATCACTTATTAGGCAGCAAATGCTTGACATATGGTCGGAGGCATCTGCGATTACGCACTATTAAATAACTGTGAATAACAGTAAGAACTGACCTGTTGACGATTGTCCGTTGAAATAGGAAGTAAAGTGGAAACATGAAACATTATTTCATGGCCTTCATATATCGTGTATATTGACTCAGTGCCAGTTGTTTCGGCTAAAGTTAGAAATGGCGGCAAATAATGGATTTTTGGATTATTTGTGAAAATTTATGGATTGAACGTAAAAAATAAATGATTTTTCGATTACTCAATGAATCCAAATTGAAAAAAACTCTGTGATCTTCATAAAGCATGACAGACACAGCCCATTCGATTGCGATTACCCAGGTAAACCTCTTAGCACCTGTTCACGTGTTGGCCAGTGTTGTGCTGCTGAAGGTGATTACAGTATAAAGTCAATTTCTCGATCAGACTACCGCATTTTCTGCATTCGGCCACTGTTGTTAACACCTTGCCTCAGTGACTCGACAAACAGTAACAGCCCTCCCTTCTGTATGGGTCGTTTGTTAACCACAACAGACCCAACAACACCACTATTGGGCAAATTAATGCAGGCTTAAAAGTTTCGATTGAATGAATGCTTAGTACTAAATTGGGGTTCTCACAAAGATTAAAAATGAGTTTTAATTGTAGAGAACCAAATTTGTCTTTTTATATGGCTTTACAGGACAGAAGGTTGTCTTCAGCTATGAAAGTGTTAAGGGGATAGGGTAATTTTTTTAGGAGTAACATTCAACTCCGTAGGAGAATCAGTACAAAGCTATCTGAACTGAAGCGGTTCTACAAATTCAAACTGGCGTAAATGAGGAACGATTACAACACTAGGAAAAAGCAATTCATCATTTATTTCTTTATTAAAACGTATTATGATTTTGCAGATTGGTGCTTTCTTGATGAATTTAAACGCATTTTTACTGAAGGTAGCAATCTACGTTTCAGGGCTAAAATTATTTCCAGACTCATAACATTCACTGTCAATCACCCTCAATTTTGAAATAGGAATACTCTCAGGCAAGATCATCCGGGGTTTTAAGCGTCTAATAAATTACTAGTGTATACTGGAAAGGGAAGAGTCAGTTACTAACAAATTACCGTGCGATCTAAACATCCATAAAATGGCCTCTCCAGTAATCTGCCAAAAGTGATATTTAGGCAATATGATTTGCTAGTTAGATAATACAGTTGGCGCCCATCACAAAATTAGGGATCCTTTGCATAAAATTGCACCCCAATCTATTTTGATGACAAGTAATATATGTATTATCGGGAAAATTGCCTGACAAGGTTAATTACTCGAGGTAAATTAGGCATTTTTAACCATGAAGACATGAAACCATACATGTTACGTCAATACGGCATGCAACCCAGCGCTGCTCAAGGACGCGCGGAAAATAACAGCCTAAATCGTAAAGGCAGTTTGACAGTTATCTGTTACAAAATCAGGGGCTGGCGAGCTTGATTTTGAAGAAATGATGATAGTGAAACTCATGACAGGCCTCACTGGTAAAACTGGCAAAGGGGGTTTCAAATTCAGTATAACGAACAAACTCACTTTTTGCATCAAGGCCACCCTTGAAGCGATCCCAGTTCTTCAAAGCTATTCTATCCCCAAGAAGTCTCAGGAATGCCTGATACTGTGGACTTCCCTCTTCTAAAAGACCAGTCAACCGAATTAATTGGAATAAAAAATAGAGAAAAAAGGAATTCATTTAGGTTTTGACGAATTTAAACCGATTAAATCAGTTCCATACGTAAAGCACAACATTCCTAGATTTCTTTATTTGTTCAAATAAGAGCAGAGTTTCAAGTTTGACCTCGCATTGAAGTAACAAGAGCGTCAATTAAGAATCATCGAACAATAACTTCCTGCCATAATTTGCCTATAAGTGTTATACTACACCTTCCAGAACCTTCAGTAGAGAATAATGTATTAACATATGTAGACTGACATGACCCGTTCCAGTCCATACATGAAACGTGTTCTTACCATTATTGTACATCTCCTCATCTAATGTTTGTCCCTCTTTACAATACAAAACTCCGAATTTGAAATTTACTGATCCCTAAAAAGGAATGAGCTGTAAATGGTGCCAGCATACCTCCTGTTCCTCTAGAGTAAGAACCTCTTTCTGCACTTCATGGTGGAGGATTTCTTTCAGGCCTTTTTCAAGTCTGTAGATGTCAAAGAGACTAATGTATTAGATTAAGAAACGGAAAGTAGAAAAAGTACCAAAGGATCTTCTTGGGCGAAACTGAACTTGCGAAACTGTTGGAAATGCAAAGCTTTTGGCTTCCCTGCAACCAAGGCGATAAATAAATGCAGAAGTGAAAAGTGACTATCTTACAAACTTTGTCCACAATATTGCGCGATACTGACGAAGGCCCTCAGCTTCAAATTCCGATTTTACTATCGCCAAAAGTAGTGGATCTTTCTCCGATATGTTACCGCAGTAAATGTGGTGAGCTGATATCGTATGAAATCAAAAAGTTTGTAGAAAAAATAGGGATGTATGAAATTAATAAAAAGCCTTATAGGGAATCACCTTTTCCCAGGAAATATTTGAAGTACCACCTTGTCTCTCGTTCTGGATTTTCGAGGTGGACAGGTCCACCACTAGCCAACGTATTCTTTTTTCTCAGCATGCGCAGCATGTGAATGGGTGGAGAGAAGATCGGCTCTACGCCCGTGATGCCCTCGTTGGGCGCCGAGGAGCTGTGTAGCTTCCTGAGTGCGGGGGATGGCGTGGCAGCGTTTTGCGCTCCACCGCTGGAGAGGAGGTTGATGCTCGGGCAGCTCTCCTGGAGGGTAGAACAATTCAATAAAAAGCCCCTAGAGTCGACAGTTGCGGGACCAGAGAAGAACCATTGGGTCGGACGCCAGGAGGAGGAAGAAGTTGATGGGACATCAATACTCGCATTATGACCAGGAGCAGAAGCCGTCGGCGGAAGAAATATGTGAACCCCGGGCTCGAGGCGGAAGCGGCCGGCGTTGTTACGGTAGATATACGCCATTCACGGGCATTCAGATAACATGCCCTTAGATTGCAATTCGGATCTTTCCAACATAGGATGTGCCACTGAAATAGGCGATAGAGACACTACAACTCGCCATTATACGCTTTAAGAACGAGGCTTTGATGATACAGAAAATACTATGTCTGCACAAAACATCTTAAACCATGAACGAGATACACAATTCCGGACTTCGCATATTATATTGGCTGTTTGATCGAAACAAACTAAGGATTATGCTTTTTTACATTAACAATATCCATCAAAACCACGATTGTCACTGACTTCTCAATCGATGATTTGTTTATGACTATCATCATGTCCTCAAAAATAGCCGTCAGTAGTCTTTAATCAACACCTTTCCGTTCATAAGTTTTTACCAAAATCCGACTGTTCCATAAGCGCGTTGCAAACATAGTCGCAAACTACAAGTCTACTGCAGGATAGTTACACCACGTTCGAACCTCATTATTAGGAACCATTAAATACTTTTACTATTGCATTAATATATTTAAAAGAAATCAAATGCATGCTGCCCCATCACAAATTCCGTAATTCCAAAGGAGTTTGCAAATTCAAAATGATCAATAACTTAGAGACGTTAAGTTTACAGATGATTTATTTAACATGGAACCTTGAAAAAAGGGGGTGGCATTGTTTAAGGGTCAGCCAGCATTCATGTATGGCTGCATAAAGATATTTAAGGTCAACTTTATTATTTTTGTAAGTAATTTAGGCTGTTCGACATCCTCTCCTGCCTTAAAATAAACATGCACTGATGCAGTATGTACGTGGTAGCAACGGATGAAGGCAATGTAAAAATGCAAAAGTCTTAAAAACCCGACACCGCCATGGTATAATCAAGGCAGGATTTACGCTGAAAAAGCACTACATAGCCTCAGTTCCTGGCACACCTAACGCATACGAAGTTACCTTCGCCAAAAGAGAAAAATTGAAAGCTGGATTATAAAAATGTGCTTTGTTGTAAAACGTGATGTAAAATAAGTGAAGTTTTGACGCACATGACGAGATCAAGAGGAAACCCAAAGACGCATCTAATTTTAAGAGAAAACCATATACACCGCGAAAGTATTTGCGGTGATGACTATTTCAAAGCAAATAAGGCTTACTCTTGTGCAAAATCCACTGAAATCCACTATTACAAAAAAGCAAACTGTTATGCGCTTCGCTTGAAGGGATATTCTCCGCGGGCATAGAAGTCTGGTTGCATTCCCACCAATCTGTCTTTTTTTGCGCCATGGCGATTGGCCGAACCAGCCCTCATGTTCACGCGGCGAACATCGATCGACTTGGGAGCGAAAATCCTGGCAACCAATCAGAAATCCACGCTTAAGAGTAGGCGGGTGTTTGAAAACGCATTGAAGCATGCGCAAGACGGCGGTGCTTAAAAGTCGACAATTGAAACCCTCATTTTCCCTAAAGAATCTGTGTGGATTAGTGATTTGCCCAAATCCCACTGTAAATGTATAAGACTCGACTAGAGCACGACACAATGTATGCGTTATAAATCAAGTTACATGAGTCTTTCTAGAAGCTCAACTCTCCGTGATAAAGTAGGCGAAAAATAAGTAAAGTATATTTACTCTATAGACTCCGCTTTCACGGTCAGTTAGTCATTCATCTAGATGTTTAGAAGAGAACACCAAATGTGACCTGCCGTCCCCTGTCTCTTTAGTAAATTCGTTCCCACTTTCACTGTCAGAAGGCGTAGCCAGCTACTCCATCCTACAGCGCAGCGGATCATGAGTAAAAATATCACGGGTAATTTTCTATGGAGATATGGGGTAAAAATTAATATCCTCCACACAGTACTCATCGGCTGAGCTCTGCTGGGTGGGCTACACTCTGCCCTTTCGTGAATCAGTTCAAAGTAAGCCACCAGCTATTAGACGCAGCTTTTTCCGTGAATAGGAGGTTTTATGCTCTGGTAGGGTTCCCAAGAAAATGAAAGAGCCGATTGGATTACCGTAGTGGTGGTAACGTGGGATTTTTAAATCCTATAGACAATGTATTAGGCCCTAGTGATACATCTCTAAAAGACAGTCTGTTTCAGGTAGTTGTGATTAGTTCGAGGAAGTAATGATTGGAGAAGTTGATGAAGTGCCTCAGGCAAGATATTTTAAACACCCCTGTGATGACTGGTAAATGCGTGTATTCACTACTTCATTTTCTACCAAGACTATGGAAATGCCTAATTTGAGATTGAAGCACTGTTTAGTTGTGAGCAGTGGATAGAGTAAACAAGCTGCAACGCTTCGCGACACAGTTGACTTTAAAATACTCACTAACAGTAGTATCAGCGTAGCCCCTTGTAGGATACCCTCAGTCTGAAGTACAATTTACACTTAAAATGATTCCTCTCACTAATAGATTTTTAAACTGGAATATTGAGAAGATTATGCTTTATCGTTGGGACAGTCATAAAATCAAATCCACGTGGTAAAGCACGATATAGTTTAAACAGGCCACACGTATTTTAGGGAGAAATGCAAACTAAGAGTTTCCTTCTTACGACATTTCTTGAGGTAGCAATGGATCACTACAATGATTTGAGTACTTACCGACTGATCACACAAACCAATAAATAGTTGATGTTTTTGACATCTTTAAAGATTTAAAATAAATCTAATTGGCTGTTGCAGTCACCACTGTACCACTGTAATACTAAGTTAGTAATTGCTCAGTCATTGGTGAAGAATAAACTCAAAGCGCAAGCATTAAGTCTTTGCCGCTTCCACAACACCATTATTACTTTATGCTACGATGCTTATTGAAGTTAAACACCTGGACTCCACAATACTCTCCTTAAAAGCCGATGAGGAATTTACTGTAGAGAACTTGAAACATGTATTGAGTCAGAATATACATGTACCTGCATCCAATTTAACCTTGGCAAGCAATGGTTCTTTGCTTGAAGATGAACACCGCTTCTCTGAGTATTTCGCAGGGGACATATGCAACGTTCTTTTGTTTTTGCGTAAGGGAGAGCAGATACGGACCAACATTGAAGTTGACTTTGGCCATGGAAAGGTTTTATTTATCCCCGCTTGCATGAATTGGACTGTGGGCGAACTGAAGCAAAAGGTACAAAAGGCGATCAAAGATGAGCACTTGGATGAGACCAAGATTTTTACGTTTGCTCATTATATCATGGAAGATGACCGTAGACTTAAAGAATACAAACTTAAAGAAGGTTCAAAAATAACTGTATTTACCTATCTTAACCTGAAGTCCACGAATACTATAAATGGGGAAGCTTCATCAGTTAAAAGTGGGGCAAAGGGTTCCCATCTTATCGTTTCCCAACAGCAACTTTCTCAACAATCATCTACCTCACGGAAATTTGGAGACCTGGAAAGCTTTCCCAAATATCAGGTGTTAGAAAGTCCTGTTGATGACATAATCAAGTCCTCCTTATCCCGTGCCACCCCACTGCCCCCTACTCCATCCCCTCCCCCCCTTTTCGGAGCCATCAAAGGTGGAACCAGTAGAAAATCCAAAAATCCCCATCGTCCCACCTACTGATTCATATGTTTCACCACAAATGGCAGAACAAAGTTCTTTATGGAATCCAACGGCAAATCTCACTGACCATCAGTGGCAAAAAAGCTCATCAAATCTAAGAAATGTTCCCGAGTCTTCAGAATTTTGGCCCGCTTCGGTGGAGCCCAAAACAATTGTAATACCTGGAAGGTTTCGACAGCGCCAGACGCAACCCATATTCAACAACCAATTCCATTCTGGAACAGGGATATCAGAGCGCAGCAAAAGTGCCGATAAGATGGATGTCATTTTCACCGATGGAACCAGGAAGATGGCTGTAGAATTGCCAATAACAGCTACGGTTTTAGAAGGCTTGGAAGCCGTGAAGACAAGAATTTCCGATAGTGATAAGGACAGACTTCGATTGTTCAAGGGGTATGTGCAAATGGAAGCCTATCATCTTCTTAGCCAATATGGAGTCGTGCATGGTAGCACAGTAGTATTCAAAAAACCTGGTCCAGTTCGGAAATTTTAGTGACAATATATTAAATCCTGCCCTCAGTTTACATTTTTTGAACTTGGGTCGGTTTCTCAAATCATTTGCCCAACGTCCTACAAATCTTATAAGAGCAGTCACTCGCTGGGTAATGTTCTCAAGCTAGCTCTATTATTTACGTAAGAGGTATGAGCCCTACATGCAATAATATAATTACAACCAATAGGGCGAGCAATCGAGAAAATGGATTTAATAAAATGGGTGCTATTTTACATACGCATATTAAGATGGATGTATCCAAACCTTAAATGTCATTCTGACTTAGCTTATCGCGTATTTTACTAAAAACTGGAAGTAAATGAAACTCCTATTGAAAGAATATTTATCGTAAATAGATTTGCAGCATAATTCAGTCTGACCAACCCACAATCATGTCGAACACACATTACTTCATTGACGATTACCCTAAACAATGATAGCATTCACTGCTTCACATATCCCACATCTGGAAAAGCCGGTGAGAGACTGACCTGCATAATTAAATTAGTACGTCTTTAAGAGCTGCAGCTAGATCTGATGCATGCAATATCGCAGCATTCTGTGAAAACGACTGATAGTATTTTATTTCTTTTGAAATCTCGTCTAATGTAAATTGTGTAGCCATCACAATTCGATAAATTTATATTAAATGAACTCTTAAATTCATTTCGCTATGTGTTGACTCACGCTTATTGCCCATAAAGGATTCTGAATTCGCATGCAGTACACTCAATGGACGTTGTCTTGAACCCTCCATATATGGACTGTGTGGGGCTCGTAAGGAAGAAGCGTAGAAAAAAATAGCACCAGAGTAAATCCTTGCACAGCAGCAATAGAAAGGTCTTAAAGACTACTTTTCTATTTCTGCCTGCTCCAAGTTGTTTTAAATGCAAATAACATAAAGTACTTTCCCAATTTTACAGTTGATTGTCAAAACACTAGTAAAAAAACTCAGAAAATCAAACATTTGTCTGACCTCCAACACTTTAACTGTCTCATTTAAAGGTTCATTGATAGTTCGCTGTCACCGCTCCCCCGACTGGTTAAAAAATACACGAAATTGCGCAGTGCTGCACTATAGCTTAAGCATTGTTGTTATCCAACTGAAAATACATACTTTGAAGAAGCTGGAGGTGATCAGCTAAACAGGCTATACAGACTCTATGTAAGAATTCCAAAATGAGTAAAAAGCAGATTTTTTAGTAAATAGTGGTAACCGCGATGTTGAGGCAAGTGCTGCTGAATTCTACAAAGAACAGTTATTCCTGTGGTAAAAGGGCGGCAATATTTCTGGTTATTGTCTCCCAATATCACGTTGAATACCGTGGTGGTTTCGGCCAAGTGCACTCACGTGTAAACAAAATGGAGCTGCCACACAGAGTGTCAAGAGAATAAATGATCCATCTGATTGGCCAATAATGTAGATGAATTACTAAATGATATACAACTTTCCCACTTAAACGTGAAGGAATGTACACTTCTTTAAGAGTACAAAAAAATTGATTAATTCAAGTCACATGTTTAATAACCTGTCACTGAAAAAAAACGGCTGTGCAGGAACCGTCAATCAAGCGAAGTAGATCAGCGTCTGATAGTTTGCATATGAAAGTGGGTGCTTTGCAAAACCTTACTCAACCATAAATCGCCTAGAATTTGTTCGAAAAGCATGACTTGAAACAGCATGAGAATTGTAAATAAGAAATGATCACTTGATTAAATGAGTTAGTAGGTATTGTTCAATTTACTTAATCATGATTTATTCTGGAATTCTGAGTACGTAATGCGTTGAAGGTTTTGTATAACGCATGCAGAACCTCTTTTCTAAAATACGGTAATTTTATTGAGTACTTTTTGAGGTAGATGGATAAAGACTGATTGTGGTAAAAAGGGAAATCGGTGTTGACATCCACGTCAGTACCTGGGCTTGTCAAATCGCCACAGATATGTAAGGGAGGGAAAAAAGCTGCAAAACTGTTTCTTTTCCATGTTAGAAAAGCAAAAAATTAGGGAGTTTATTTGAATCGAGATGTAGTCATTCCTTTGGGTGGTTGGCCCTACATGAATAATTTCACTCACTTGATGAAGTAGACTAGTATAAACATTGATGAATTACAAGTCTAGAATCTAGAAATCTGTTTTAAATTGCACGCACCTCTTGAGGGGAATTTTTAAAAGTAGTTAGTCTAGATTGGCCATCCAAAATACTGCGTATCCAACGCGATTCAAGTCTGGTCCACAATCAATTCTAGTTTAAAATTGCAGACTTAGAAATTGAAATATCTTTACTCTGAGATAACAGACCTGGAATGGACAAGCGTCCTGCACCATCTGGATTCATCAGTGAGAAGCGGGAGAGATCAACCATAACATAGACATCAAAGACCAAAGTCCAATAAATCGGAATTCTCGTTATTTACAAGGATGTTTAGTGCTTCACTCAATTTCCTAAGCTTCGATGAAGTTTGAGAAAATAATGAGTAAGGTTCACAATTTTATCGCACAACATAGTGTGGGCAAAATCTATGCCGCAAGCCCCGCCTAGATGCTAAGTTTTTCACCCATCATAGGCGGTACCTTAACGCCCTTAATAGTTAAAAGAACCTTTACGATTTTAAATGTGCCTTTGATGAAACCAAACAATGTTTTTCCTACTAAATCATTCGGCACGAAATTTCAGTCGAAGTGTGTTTGTACAGAGGTTCCCATAAGTACTCCTGAAATATTGCACACACAGCCTCGAATTACAGGAGAATTACTCAGATTTCTGTCTTTTCAAAGGGCTATTCCACTTTACTGGTTAAATATTGTAGTGTAAAGAGCTGGTCAGCATCAATTTACATCCTATAGTGCCTTATGTTCGCATACAAAAAAGCTGTACTGTGCGAGTTAAGTAACACTTATATTTAAGCAGCTTTTGACAGTTGTAACTGGATTCGGGGCGAAGTTAGTGAGACCTTTATTTAACTGTAACTTCACATAACTGTTATGATTTGCATCTTCCATATGTTTGTCTTCCTAAACTACTCTAACTAACTGAATAAAAGGCTAATGCACTTCCAGCAATAGCTCCCACTTCTTAAAAGTTTGCAGTTACAGGAATGTAAAATGATTTTTTTTAAATTGATGAGCAATAAATTAATTCTCAACAAGAAGGAAGGTTTTGAGAAGATAGTTTTCTGATAAGAAGCAAACACATAATTTGAGGTTGACAAGTCAATGCAGTATTTTCAAATATCGAAATCAAATTTCAATCCTTCGCATTTGATAAATAACCTAAAAATGTTCGAGCGAAATGAGTCACAAACGGGTCAAATCGGTACCGTGAATATGCTGCAGCACATGAAACCGAAAATAAACAAATGAGCTACTTCTACGCAATGCAACTTTTTAACAACAACAATCGGGACGAAACTATTCCGTTTTCCGCGCATACTTTCGGCTAGTCTTGGGCTCTTGGCAAAAGCGAGTAGTCTCTTGATTTGACGACTCGTCCTATAGTGTTTTCACCGAATTTTTCCCGTAACAGACGGTGGGAATTTAAAGTGTGCTGTGACATAAACGGACAGTTCCCAAACAAATTTAAAGGGAGCTGACCCTTCTAGATGACCATTAAAACTTGGGTATCATAATAATTTAACGAGCAGTATTTTGCAGAAAGCAATCAAGCCGTGAAGTGCTTTGATAAAATAAAACCACAATTAATAGTCATTTGTTGAAAAATGAGAGTTGGACTCTATCTCTACATAATCATGCATAAAGGTAGAGCATTGTAGAATTTAACAAATTAATTAAGTGACTCGACAAGCAGCAAACTCTTACAGTATCATAGGTAATCTGATACAAACGCAAAGAAGAGACCTGCTAATACACACTTAGGATGAACGTATATTGACACTGATTCCTATTAATCATGTCTCTCACGCAGTCAGATGCTGCCCAAACCGTTAGCAGGGCTAACATGAGAGCCCTACACTTTTTAAATGCTCTGCTTCAATTAAACGAAGTTGTTTTGCATCTTATACCCATATTAGCTTATGAGGTTGTACGATCAAGGCCATCTGCAGCCATGAAAGAAAATAGTTTGCGGACCAAGAAAATCCTTTTAAATGGAAATCAAACGTGCTTACTTCCATTTTAACCAAAATATGGCGATTAAAATCTCACAGGTTCTTTACATCAGCTTAAAGCTGATTGAGGGTCAGAGTGCTTCGGTTAATGCGATCCCTACCTACAGTAGATACTTCCTAGAAGAACATTTTCTGTGAGTAACCACACGATTCTTGATGAAGGAATTGTAACAATAGCTTGGCGGTAAAAATAATATTTTCTTCACTGCTTTAAACGTCTGCATTTTCCACTGACTGACAATAACACTTTGTGTTAATATGCAATTAGGCGATCGAGAGAGGACATTTTTAAACAAATCAGTCTGGCTGAAATACAGTGAAAAATTTCTTAGCAAGAACTGAAACTCAGTGAATTTGATGTAAACAATGATTATGGGATTAGTGTTAACTTAAAAGGTCTGACAGAGGCGAATATGCCTTCCTTTCCAAAAACTGGGTTGGAATTACGAAACAAATTTATTGGATGAAGCAGATGTCGACGACATCTGTTTGCAAGTAAAAGGAAACCATCAGCGAGAGTAAATACCAAATTACAAAAAAGTGTTGACATATTTGGAAAGAATAAAATGGGGACTTAAAGGCTAAACTATGTGATGAAAATCAGTATCAGCATATGACTTCTCAAGAACTTTCTCCATAAATCTAAAGCTCTTCGAAAGCAGATGGTACTGGTTTGGCGACTTTTGAAAGTCGTCAACCGAATGAATTTGCTCCAAATCATAAGGGCAATCCTACTTATATAAGAAATCTTATGCATTTGTACGCGGATAACAGCATCCTTCAATGGCGAATGGTGAAAACAATTACTCATTTTGAAACGTTGATTAATTCAGGAATGATGAGTGAAAACAAACCTACTTTCGATGAAACTAAAGAGGTGTTAGTTTACAATACCGAAGATGTTAATTAGGATATGATCCTCCACAGGAAGCCTAAACCCGATAGGCCCATGAGAAGAAATAATGGTATAGTGAAATATAAAGGCTTTCATGTACAAACATAAAATATTCGTAAAAGAACATTTTACTGTTTGACAGAAAAGGGTGTCATTATTCCTCCCTCCATAGGTCTCTCTTAATCATCAGTAAAGCTGTTTTCTAACTAGGTTGCCAAAGAAGGAATTTCTTGACACATACTACAGTTAGGGCTCAGAGAAGTGCGCTTTTCCCAAACACAAAGTATCATGGAGACGTAGAAAACTGATCTAAAGAATAGCAATATTTTGTCGGTCCTAATGTTCTGGTGTACGATAAAGTGTACACCAATTTCACTAGGATGTTTGAAATGTAACTGAAACTCGTTAGCACATTGGCGTACCTGTTTGTGATTTTGCCTTATTTCTCACCAATTTCGTTTGATTCAGCAATTTGGATTTTACCACAATATTCTGAATGTGGAAATGTAATAAATAAGGAGCACCAGTTTAGTGATCATCATTGGGTAACAAAAGTGCTGCATTTAAAATTAAACAAATATAAATATACCATAAGGAGAGAAGTAACCAGTTTTAAAACGAAATTAAATCTATCAAATCGAAGAAGCCAGCGGACAGTGATCGACATTAAGGGTTCTTACCTGGTTTATGTAAACCGTTACTCTATTTTGATTGACTTTCGAAAGCATAATCGTCACTTGCACTTGAGGTTTTAAGCGTTTTAATGCTTCAAAAAGGCAGTCATAAGTTTAGAAAGAAATAAGCAAAAAAATAATGAAATTGATTTAAAGTAATGCGACTTTTTGAATCCCGATTTCCCTGGCATGTTGCCGCAACTAGTTTCTTGACTGGGGCATTTAAGAGAGAGTTTTGAAGCATATAGTCGAATGCTTTTAACGACATTTTTGCTTAAGAAAATGGCAGATAGCATAAAATTTGGCAGCATACAGCAAGTGTGATTGCATTAATGCGTCAGAAGTAAGAGGAAAGACCAAATTAAAAAGCACAATGATGCAAATTTAATACGTTGTTTAACTCACTGTTATGGCAAAGGGGCCAATTAGTTGCTCCTTCATTATATCTTCGCCAAATGGGCCATGCCAGTAGCCCCAAGCCCTACTGTATGTAGGTTATGCTTATATGTATATTCTGCCCGCGTATTATGTCTTCTTGCGTATTCAGGGAAGTGTCGGGACGTTAAGTAGCATCCAAAATCGTTTAAATAAGGAGCAAGGAACTTTGTAAACCGGTCATAAACATATTCACTACTTTATCTAGACGCAATACAAACAAAATACGAAGACTTTTAAATTTAAGTGGACAAAAAATTTGCTGATCATACAATAGGAATCTGGTGTCACATTTTGGTGTGTAGGGTAAAACATTTATTCCGTTGATTTACAGAACGAAATTTAAAGCCAAATTCACCAAAAAGTGACTTACGTCGAAGGAAATGTCAATACTTACATTTGCATACTGAGACCTTAATGCTGGTGTGCAAGGCTGATTGTTTTAAGAATATATAAAGAAGTGAGGATTCTAGTAGGTCACTTAAGTGAACGATTAAATGAGATATTTTAACCTTCCTGTGTAAAATGAATTTTACTGCATAAGCAACGTGATTAGCTAAAAAGTCAAGGTGCAAAGTCCTAGAATATCAGAAAGTCGTCGATTTAAACCATGGATAAGTGGCCACCTAAAAAAACTGGAATATTCAAATTAATAGTAATTTTGAAGTCGTAGCTTGGGTTGTCAAATTTTAGCCCTCTTTTTATTCTCAGCTTAAACTATATTAATTCCCATTCAACAGGGTAAAAGAATTTTAAAAGCGAAAACAACCGAATGAGAGGTAAGTTCTAAGTGGTGTTTGTAAGATGGGATTTCTGGCGTTACTTAATGGACTGTTTCGGAGAAATGCGCAACATTCTCCAGCAGATACTAGTTAACTTGAGACAAACTCTCTCACTAGACAACCATATGGACTCCGCATGCAGTTTGAAATACCCGCTGATCTGATAGGATGCGGAAAGTTGAACATCATGCAACCTCCGAAGAATGAGAAATATCCCTTGAAAGTGGATACCTTGTATGAAAACAAAATGGGAGATACAATTATTTTTCAGTGCCTTCTGGGTAGGGTAATAGCAGCCAAATTTCGCTTTAGTGGTCTGTTTTCCAGAAGCAGAAAACCCGGTTTCTAGAGATACCTTCACATAACAAATTAATTATTGGGATCCATAAACAATGGACCATACTGACTTGAGCAATAATAGATATCTTAAAGAAATTTCAAATGAACGGGGAATTTAAATCACAAAATACTATAAGCAAGAGTCCAAAGATGGTAAGATAATACGAAATCAAGAACTAATGCCGCATTTGATAGTGATGAATTCAGATAGCCCCATCGTAATAAAAACCTAGAATTTTGGCTATTCTTTCACTAAGTTATTATATGCACATTTGACTTCTGAAACTGCAGCTGCATGAGAACGAATTTCCTAAAAAAATATATAATCGGCCGGTTTTAAGTAACATATTGTTCTCAAATTAAATTACCCGGAATTCGAAACAAACTGTTTTTGGATAAATTTAAAGCGCTAATTATGTGCTCTGTTAAATACATACTGTACTCTGCATGAAAAACTACATTTAAAAATGGTTGTGAATAATTCACTACCCATTCAAAATTTAACCTTATTCTAAAAAATCTAAGAGGACTTCACTGTTTATCAAAATGTGTAACATTAAAAAAGAATAATCTCAGACACAACTTCAGCAGATTGAAGTAGGTTGCAAATGGAAGTAATAATGCTTGCTAAAAAACCATAGTGGCTTCATTTTCCCATTTTTCAACCAAAATCGAACCTAGGCTTATATGTTTCAGTTGTGCCATAATGCAGCACATTTAAAATGGTAGAGCAAAACACATGCATAGTAGATTGGAAAGGTAGTTTTGTAAATAGCTTGCATTTTGCCAAACAATAAACTATGATTAGTGTAGAGGGCTAAATAATGCCATAATCACTTTAGATTTCGCCAAATTTCTCACATTACTGCAAAGTTTAATCTACCAAGGAAAATCAACAAACAATTAGAAAATTCACCTAAGGTAACAGCTCCTGGCACCCACTTTGAAGGAAAATTAGCGTACGGATGAGTACCGTGTTCGTGGTAGTTGCTGATAAGCAAGGGTTGGCTCCGCAACTTAAACTTATACAATGTCTAACCTTTATTAAATTGCTGGTTTACTTTTCAGCATGGCGTAATGGAAAACAAAGGCCTCTGTAAGCTGCGACCAACTTTGTCGGAAGACTAATCCATTAAACATGTTCGTAGCATCTAGTGCATGAGTAGGAACATCTGCGGTTAAAGCTTACAAACGTGAGCAATTATTTATTCGAAAGTAAACAATAGAGTGGTGGTTAATAAGTCTTGTTTACTGTACAGTTAGTATTAATTACCTGAAAAGCTTGCAAAAAAAATATCGCACAATTTAACTAGGAAGAAAGTTTTATGAAGTTTATCGGAAATAAAGTATTCTCTCTCTTGTAGTATTTATAAGAATTAACAACTAAAAAAATAAAGTTACTTATAGTTCTCTGGCACAAATCCAAAATAGGGGAAATAAAATTTGAAAAGCTGTCATTTTAATTATACTTACCTTTACTACACTAAGGCTGAGTTTTTAGCATTCTTAACTTTAGGCAATATTGTACCATATTTGCACACATGGCCGTATTATTGTAGAAATGTTACCATGGTTAGATTCCTATATCATAATTTTTAATATAATCGGCAAACAGTCCCCATCCAAACTTCCCAAACAAAAAACTGCTAACAATAATGCAGTGTATTTATAAATAATTTAGGATTGAGGAAAGCAGGATCCGGGAATGGAGGTGCATATCATTGTCGATGATTCGGTTTCTTCGGACCAACCGAAGTGAAGAAAATTTCTTTACCTGGCGTGTTCTTGGTAAGGCCGAGACCCAAAAGGAAGCGCTTTTGAAGTTGGGCGTACTGTTGGTCGAAATCATCAAAGTAATCATCATAAGTATCGAGACTATCATAGACGCTCCAGTGAGGGTAGGCGCCAGTTGATGCAATCAGTATCATTGCCACAAACGCTAAGAAAATGGGGCTAAGCGAGTTCATTTGATTAAACCGTAAGGGGCTGTAGGCAGTCTAGAGAAAAATGTCAGGTATTCAAACGAAGTAAGTAAAAGGATTATTTTATTCGTCGATACAGCCTGCCATGGAAGTGACGAATAAAAATCTTGCACCATTTTGCACCAAGCAAGTCTCCATAATGCAGCGTTTTAGCTATTACCGACCAAACTAAAGCACCCTTTCTTTGCCATTATACTACACATTCAGTTGCTCATTAGTTAAACCATCACTCACGCTTACTATAAGTTCAACCAATTGATGCACTGCTCTATTATAGAGAAAATAGTGACTTCAACCCTAAGGAGTAAAACAATTATCACGAATACCACAGCAAAAGAATTGTGATTTCCACAAGAAAATGTCAACATCTACTAATGATGTCCTATCAGAACCGAACTTGCTTAAAATGATTAAACGAATGCGTTTTAGAAGACATGATGGGGAAGTGTTTCCTTTACCTTAGTGCTCCACTGTTTCAAATCAACTTTACTTACCACAGAGACGTTTTATTTGACAATAATATGTGTTTCCTTTAGGGCATTATTTATACTAAAAAATTTAAGGGAAAACCAATAGGACGGATAGTATGTGCCCTGCCAATCCTTTTAAGGGGATTGATCTTTCCGGAATGGCTGGCGCGAAGACATAAATAGGTCAAAAGCAAACACTTGGTGTTTTTAGCTTTCTTCCTTATAACCTATTGCAGGGAAAAGCAGCATTGGAACAGTTTTAAATTTTAATGTTTAATGTAAAATGGTAAAATTAAACGAAAAATGCTCTATACTTTTAACAGATTGATATTCACGTGCATTTAACCAACAATAAAGGTGGTGAAAAATGTAAGGCCGTCATTTCCTGAAATAATGACTTTTATACAAATGGTTTACAAAATGAACATATTTGTCTGCAAACAATTTTCCTGAGAACTAGGGGTAAGATTATTCAAGATCTTGTATATCAATTGGCTTGCTTAAAACACTTCATCTGTTCTTCACTTGGAATAAGAATAAACTCAGGGTTGAGTTATGTTTCGCAAAACTTTAAGCGTTCATTAGTTGAGTTTTGAACTTAAATTATTAAAAGGTTGAAAATATGGTAGAGGAGTTTATAATAAAATTTGGAAATTAAGAAGTGTAAGGGGATTTAAATTTGACGACCTCAAGTGTAACATAAAATTACATCACCTCTTGAATGATAGGTGAAGTAAACTTTCACAACAGCGGCAGGTTGTTTTAAATTGGAGACACACAAGTGGGTAATTTCAGCAACAATATTGGCTGCAAATGCATACGCCTGTAATTTGCGGAATTGGGTGTGGAGTTACCACCGCTCTGCGTCGCCTGGACTAAAAACCAAAAGCTGCACCTAAATAATCAAGTAAAGGATTGATTTATTTTACACGTCCCTATATCAAAGATATAAACCTCTAAAATTTGGCAATCCAGAAGGAATAGCATGCAGTAAATGAAACAGTAACCTAATTCTGTTCTCAATATAGTTAAAATCATTAAATAATTGGAAATGGGTTTAAGCTGAAGCAACGAAGTTTTTTACATATATCCAGTGGAATGGTAATCAGTTGGCATAAAAGCCATTCACCTCGTCTGGCTCTCCCTTCTGGAATCAGTTTAGACGAAATCTGTTTAAACACTAAACCCCAGTTAGTAGAAGCACAGTCGCACACAGACCGTGATATGGCCAACTTTTTTGCACTCATTAATTTATGCCAACTATAATGGGATTTTAGCAAGAAAAAATCAGAGCAGAAGATAGCCCATTCATAAACTCAGCTGTCTCAAAATTTTTAACATGTATTCCCTATTGCAAATAGGGAAGTACGATAAACAATCAGGTAGGTGGTTCATGAGTTGACTTAAGCAAAATTGGCAGTGAGGTACATCTCTAATAATGCATATTGAGACCGATCGACCCATTACATTTTACTTTTAAACTATCCTCCTCATTAAATTATTTTGAATGAACATTTAAATAAAGTCACCTATAAATTTTATTTACCCATAGTGCTCACCGGGTGTAGAGCTAAATATTGCCATATTTCCTGACGCATTTACTTCCGACTTAAAATAAACTGTGAATATCAAACATGACATTATAAATAGATATTCGGTAGTAATTAACTCGGCCTAATAACAATGAAATTCTAATCTGCTTGGTAAATAAATAAGGCATTTGGATAAAACGTAAGTATGGGCAACACTCTGCATCACTGAAGTCGATAGAAGCTGATTTTAATTTCCTTAATGAATAACCATATTCTTCGAATCAAAATCAAACCTCAAATGTGTCCCGAATGAGAGTCGGTCTTTGTGAGGTCACGACAACTGACAAAGTAAGACCCTAACTGCACATTAATCTGGTGTTTAGTGAAATACTTTGTTATTTAAAATAAGCAGCTCACAACTTCCTTAACGATAGTTCTCATCGAATGTGTTATAAGCAATATCCATAGAGGATAATGATTTACTGACGTAACATGTAAAACAGTGAGGCTTCGGAGTGTCTATATTATTGTAGAAGATGATAAAAGTTTTTGTTCATCAAGCGACCCTCATTTTACATTTTTTTTTCGCAGAACGTGCACGTATTTCATTCGATTTATTATTTCAGAACTGCAGTTTAATGGCCTTTGCCACAGCGTTCAGTGAGTGACCTCGGGAGGTCACTGAAAATATCAAGGCAGTGCTAATGTTTCACAATTTTTCTTTTAAGTGCTAACGGAACTTTCATTGCTGTTCCATTTTTGGTTGCTCCTACCAGTACACATTCAGTTCGTACACTTTTCTTATTTTGAAACTTTATTTTCGTGATTTTACTTTGCAAAGGCATTTAATTTGAATTAGTTTTTACTATTCTTATATTTTAAATTCTCATCCACTTTTTAATATCAGTTTTGTGACTAAATACATACTTTTATTCTGGCTGTTTATGAATCAAATTATTTGCTGTCATTTGCTGCAGGCTTGCATGCTAAAATATGTGCTTTTCTTGATAAAATATCCTCCAATTTTTGCACCTCGATAAGTATAGAATAGAACTTTTAGACGCACGATCTATCCTGTTTGTGCTTAGTAGCATAAAACCTGTGCATTTTTAAAAATTGAGGGTATATGTCATATAATACGTTTAAATTACATATTGCATATGTGCATTAAACTTGAGTCATTAAGGGGGGTACACGTGAATATCACCTTACTTTGAATGTGCATCATCTAGTAATCACGAAATAATTGAAAGGTTTTACCTAAATTTAGGGCAAACTGAAGAATGCAAACTAAATGATCAACTTTTTAACAGTTTTGAAGAGGGTTTAGCGGAACAAAAAAGATGAAACTATTTGTTCCATGAATAAGATGTCTGAAAGAATAGACTCAGATTATGTCTGGTATCAAGCACTTTTCATAAAAAAACTGAATTTTTGGGCTTTAAGACAAATTATTAACAAAGGAATGACTGAAGATGTTTGATAGGACAGATCCCATCTCTTCAAAATTTTTTGAGATACCACGATTGGTGATGGCGTTTAATAATCGACTGGTGAGATAAAATATGAAATAAAGTAGGTAAAAGGATTGTGTAAAAGTGTCTTTTTCAGTTTAATATTAATCAACGAGCTACTTTTTAGATATGGTTATGAGGGGGTTTTGTTTTCTATTGAATAAAATATATTTTCTTGAATTTCAGTTCAGTTATTGGGACTTAGATTCCGCTATGCATAATTCTATTGTTATTTGCGCTGCAGATTTATGAAAGCATAAAATTATTAATAAAACGTGATGGTGGTAACAAATGCTTTCAGGACTATTTATAACTGTCACGTTGGTAAAATTGTTAAATTTTTTTTCAAAAACATCCTGATCTTTAACAAACGTGGATATTTATTATTTATGACTCGAAAATCGACGCATGAAAATATTCACAACTTAACACATCCATCAACAAAACATTTTTATATTACATTAGATTTGACCATTTGTTTGGATTAAAATCAACTAGCTTGCGTATGAAAATTGTAACTGATTTACTTGGCATTTTAAGGAAAGCGAAAATATGTGACTTAATTTTTTCTACTGTTTGCAATAAGTAGAATTTTGATCTTACAATTTCCTCAATTTTAGCAGATGGTTTACTCTAGTTTTATTAAAACCGACTGAATAGAACCATTGAAATTCAACGAAGCCACTTGTAACATAGCCATGTATTGGTTCGTGAATAGGATGTCATTAATACCAAATTAACATTGCTAGCGTGCATACGTAATCTGAAACAGAAAATACAAGCCTGACTCTCGCCCCAAATGTATACATTAATCCACAAGCATCTTAGCTAGGTCGTTTTTTTAACCCTCAATAAACTATACGTTTATTTTAATCTCATTAAGATCATGAAGAGCTGACTTACCAGTAATGAACCTAGCATATGGCCTTTTACGGCCTTCCCATTATTTGCCAGCCAAATGCCGAGATCTAGTAATAGATAATAAAGAAATATACGCATAATGTTAAATAGGCCTTGCATAATGTGATGTATACATTTTGGGAAATTTAAGTTCAAAACACTCGTTCAAATTCTTCATTGTGGACGCCTCCAGATAGCAGCCCCAAAAAAGTGATCAAATAGCATCTCTTTTAGTTAATGCCCCAGTTACAGATTACACATTTGTGAACATTAATGATATTAAAATTTGTGGATATAACAGCTTCATTTGTGCGCAAAAGTTTTAAATGGTCTTTTAACTGACGGACGTCAATGATGAATTCGCCTCAGAAAGTCCCTATATACTCCAATAACTGTTGGGTTGTGCATTTCTCATGCGTTATACAATTACATATTGAAATTATAAATTAGCCGTTAGTCCATCCAACATATACACAAGCTTCTAGAGCGGTTGTGATTGTCAATAGACCATCAAACGAAATTTCTCATGAGGTGATCAGAAAAGGTATTGTAAAACATACGAACTATCGTAATATTTCCCCTTAAATCGTGCATAGGTAGGAAGATGACTACTAGTTACCTTTGACGAATGATTCGGTTGTGTGATACAACTTTGTTTTGATGATAAGCCAGGTGACTACAGGGGTTTTAAGAATTAGTTGATAAAACACAAGGGAAGTCCTCTTTGTCTCCAAACACGTAAAGCCACTTTTATTGATCGCTTGAATCTAAAATATTTTTATTAGTGTTCTTTGTTGTAAAGAAGAATCTAAGAATACAAGGAGTTTGCCGATCATTGACATATTTATTATTTTTTATCATAGAAAATTGTAGCTGATGCTGAGCTGATTTCCACGAGCTCTAAAGCAAGTATTCTATTTTTTGGAATGGATGCATTAGCAAATTAGGATTTAAGCATACATTGCACGAAACTTATATAATTATAGTCAATATTTTATCCCGAAAAACTCGTAGTTAATATGCGCACAAAAATTTGCTTTCTTTATTTTTAACGGGTGTGAGGGAGAAAATGGTATCCACAATCCAAACATCCGATTGCTGTCACAAGCATTAAGTTCTATCAAACCATCGAAATCTCTTACAAGAGTGAAGGATTCGCAATGTAACCACATGCATAAAAATAACGGATCGGCAATCCCCCAAAAGCGGTCACTTAGGAACGAAGTTGACACAGTGACGCTCGGTGCCATACGCGCTCGCGCGCATCCCCCCCGTTAAGGGGGTGGGACAGTCTGCGGGCATCGATTTCTGCAATGACCTGCGCCCTCCTTGATTGGCCAGAAATCGCAAGCTTACTAGAACGGAGATCAGCATTTCCGTTGATACCAGCTTTATCAAATACTTTCTTAGGCACATTAAGCGGTGAAGCTAAATTTTAGAGAAAAAGGCAGTCAGTAGGATCTGTTGGTTATCGTAAATGGGTGTGAAGATCAAAAGGAGGGCGGGACGAAGCCTGTGAAACTGCGGAAGTTACTTGGTGCCAAGCCTACGTGACTGGTTGGCAAAAAAGAAGTCGTTAGATTTTAAGACGCTTTTTGGGGTATGTTGAATTTAACAGGTCTCCATTTGGGTCTGCTGACTGATTGGGTTGCAGGTGAGGAGGTAGATGTCGGTGCGCCGGCTGAACTATTCGCAGAAGTTCCCGACCATTGCGAAGATGCTTGAGTTTGCCCTAACGTTCAAAAAAATTGAAACTGCAGGCACAGAAGTAGCTAATCACGTAATAATCCCTACAAACATAGTGAATGCAAGCAGCGCCATAGGTACATTTGCCAAATTATGTAAACATTCCAAATTCTATTTATCAATAAGCACCATGTTAAGTAAGCTACGAAAGACTGATCTCCTTCATGGCATTCCAGTGTAAAACGCCCCAAAATTAGTTTTGGATTCACATGTTTATAAAGCTTGTAGGACATAGGAGGCAATGCGTTGCCTATGAATTTTACCATGTATTTTGCCATCATCTGCCTGCACACATGCACTTCCAACCTCTGAAAAAGCCTGATTAGTATCTTGAGTCTAGAATGGCATACGATTGCTGAAGAAATATCGTTTTGAAGTGCATCTTCTTAACAGGATAGTTTTGCTTTAGACCAATGGTTCATTTACAATCTTCCAAATTTTTAGATTTTCATTAAAAGTTAAATTTTTTTTGTGTTAAAGCCAATTAAATGGTTCATTATGTCTTAAAACTGATCTTGCAGTAGGAATTACACAAACAAGACCAGCAAAATTTTTCCAAAATTCAGTCGTGGCTAACTTTTATTTCGGGCCTTAAGAATAATGGTAGACGGACGAAGATTTGTTGTCAGAAACAAACAAGGTAATACACTTTTGACTCGTGATAAAGCCCTTTTGCGAATATGGGCTGACATCCTTTTCATCTGTTTTTTGGAAAAAGGTAAAAAAATGGAAAATAAAGGAACACATACGTCAACATTTTAGCCGAACGTGTTCAAAATCTACGCATTTTCGCAAATTTTTCGCTAAAATGGTCTGATTTCACAATCGCAATGATCAAGTCAATGATTTGACAAAAACAGTTTCGGTGGAGTTACTCATCAGGATGATAAAGAAATGTTGACCCCAAGACTAAATCGCTTATGTGAAAACCTTTGTGCAGAATTTGTTTAACTTTAATGTCACAAGTGAAGAAAAATGGGCTAGGAGATAAAATTAAAATAAACAAAACCCTTGCGGCGTGAATAGCGTTTGAACCAACTGTAGTTTTCACATTTTAGTTTGCTGATTTTGCATCTATAGTTTAATTCATGAGAGGTATATTTTAAGCTGGGAATTTTTTTGGTTTTCGTTGTGCGAATTCTAGCACCAGGTATGCTCACAACATGAAAAGCGACCCTTCTAAAACCGCAAATCTTAGAATGCTATGGTAAAAGCTATTCTAGTTTTATTGCAAGCGGTCCCAAACTGTGTTTTTACCACGAAATAAGCAAAATAAATGGTTGAGGGGGGCGATGTGAATTATGCAGGTAAATTATAGTTAATTAGTGGGCATCAATTCCCCCAACTAACTTGATGAGTTGAGCAAATAGACTTCACATAGATAGCTGTTGCTCATGTTCTTGCGAAAATCCATTTACATATTAAACGGTTATTTTGACGTTTCATTCCTAGACTGTTCAGAAGACGAAGCGGCCACAGTACTAATATTTCACTAAAAAATATAAGGGCAGCTCTTTTTTGCCCGAGAGCATTCTACCCAAAACATGGACTGTTAGTATAAAGAAGTTAAAGAGACGTTTTTTTATGCATAGCAAGGTGCATATGGTCAAAATGCGAGTGGAATGGCATAGTGAATTCCACTAAATTGCTTAAACATGTTACTTCAGGTTTTACTTTCACTGGAAATGCAGAATAATGTTAATGAGTTTTGATTAAACAGATATCTATAATATTGGAGCCAATTATGACAGGATTTTACTGATGGGAACTAGACTCTGCTCATTAGCCTACCCAAATTAGGCGACTGAGGTCTCGAGGACATTTCGTTCATCCGTACCAGGCCAGTAAGAGAGTTTCGACTCTGCTTTTGCGAAGATGGAGGAGATGTTGACTGCTGTTGTGTTCGATATACTTGATGCTGGTGCTGCTGCTCTAATTTCGATATTAGCTTAGGTCGGTCAGCCTGTTTCGGCTCTAGTACTGGGACAGTTACGCCCGTGCTCTCCACCTCCCAGCTCTGCGCCTTCGCTCGTCGCTTAGCGAACATAGCCCCACCTCGGCTGCCTGAGGTGTGCAACGCTGCTGCGATATCAAAGCAAACCTGTGGCGAGATCTCAGTGTGAGTATTTTTGGGAAAACGACGCATCTTCTCAATAAACTCCTGTATTGAACGCGGTTGTCCCGGCGGTGGCGGTGGAGGTGGCGGAGGAGGGGGAATGGTGGATGTCAGAGTGGGGAAACTCGGCGCTGCGGGAGGAGGTGGAGGCGGAGGAGCCGGTGGAATCATATACTCCAGTTGCTGAGCGGTAGCCTGATATTTGTCGTTGTGGTTTTGGTCATCGTCGTTGTTGACGCGTAAAAAGAAGGATGGAGAGGAGGTCAAGCTGTTGCGTTTGATGGATGCAGAGGTAGATGAACTTGACTACGCAGACCCAATGCCAGGCAGGAGACAAAGGAAACAAAAAAGGAAGCTATAAATAAAAGCTGTAATACCGAGGCATGCCGTTAGTAACGCACGGTTTACAGCAGCAACTGCACCATTACTGTATGAATTCATGCGTTCGAAGAAGTACTAATGTGTCTTGTTTGATTCGTTTGTGAATAGGAAGTCAGTTCAACTGACCTGTAACGCTTTTCCAAAAGAAATAATTTGTAAGCCGAATTATTGGGGACTTTTGATAAAAAATATAGTGCCTGTGAGGCTGTTGGTAAAGTCACCAGGTCTGCAATCAGATTCACGACTGTTTTTTGATGTTTTACCGCTTAGTAAGCATTCAAACACACGTAGAAGCGCAAAGCCTGCGTGATACAATTTATGCGCAGAAATGCGACCAATAGACACCAGCGGTAACATGCCTATTGAACGCAATCAAGGGTGTTGCCTTATCCCAGCACCCTGAATACCAGTTAAGACCGCGGTTAAGGCGACAATGGTGAACTGATTTAGGTTTTCTGAACCTTAGTCTATCCACAAAATGCATAGATTTAAAGACGAGGATTGTATTTATTCATGCACTACATTCAAAACCTTTCATACAAGATGTAAGGGACAGGCACAGTGTTTGCGTAAAAAGGTAGGAAATTTTCTCATAATATCGAAATTAAGTATATCTAAGGGAAGTATTCCATGCGAGGTGGGTCAGTGCAAATAGCATACCCTACGATACAGGCATAGCTAGAATAAAACTAACGTTTTCCAAGGGATCGGGAATTGGTTCTGGACCCTCTTTTACATATTTTTCCGCCCTTTGTTGTTGCGCCTCAAACATTCTGGCACCCCGAGAACCCTGATTTACGGGAGCCTCAATGCTTTTCGCCACTCGGCGCGCCATTTCAATCTGCTCCTCCACACTTGGATAGTACACATTTGTCCCGGTGTAAAAAGCCGAATTTGCAAATGTGCGCTCTAGAAGGATATAAATAGATGCTGTATTTGCTTTAAAAGTTTGATGGCCAAGCAAATGATTAAAATGAGGCATCCAAACCTATCCATGACTCAAAAATTTCATTAAAAAGCTGCCCACAATTTAAAGATCATTCTTTTGTGGCAGGACATGTTTACTTAATTTCAGAAGGACTGACTTTAACTAGCATTGGCGAGTTTAACACGCTTCACATGGCTTTGGTGGGATTAATCGACGCTCTACCTTTCGATATTTCTGCATATTAAAATGGACCTTGAAAAGGAATCAGCTTGCTTATATTTTTTGGTAGTTTGGGAATACTTTTGTTTACAAGTGAAAACAAGTTGTTTACTCAACTTGGAATAAACAGGCGGAAAGTGTAGATAAAACCGAAGTGGAATTTCTTTTGACAACTTTCCTTTTCGAATGATGCAAAAGACACATTCGCCCAAATAATCGACAGTTTTCAAAAAAAGCAATATTTTGAAACCGAAGGTATTGCTCAATACTGGCGCTACCCATTGTAACTGAAGATTTAAAATAAAAGAACGCTTAGGTAGAGCAAAGTCTTCCTAACCCAAGCAGTTTAAATTAAATCAGCACATAGTGAAAGTGAACGAAAAACTGGAAAATATTTCAAAGGACGGAGAAATTCGCAGAGTTCTTAAAACTGTTTAAAGCAAAATAATTTGCAAAGGAATTGACAATGCGGACATTGTCCGATGTGTACAAATGAGATAGATCGACAATGTTATGCAAGCGTGGACAAAACAGCCTAGATTTTCATGGCAAAGGCTTACCGTTCCTTAAAAGATCTGGTTTAGGGAGAGGGGATGCGTTCATTAGCCTTTCCAGGGGGATTGGACTTGTGTCTTTATCATGAGACTGAGTCGCTTGTAAGGTTAGCAATAAGGATGCCACCTTTTATTGTTTTAACTGGACATATCAAAATCATTACTTGAAATACTTGTTTATTAGGAACAAATGAACAGTTTCAAAATTATGAGTGCATCCTTAAAGGTAAATGAAAAAGAAACACTATTCATGCAGGATGCAGACTACAAGGAACTGACGCAGACACAAAATGACTGTTTCCTGTCTCGTCTTTGAGGAATTTGATGCTTAAAATTGAAAGACTAGTCAAGATGTCGAAGCCCCCTCTTCATATACTCCTTTAAAAGGAAGTGATCAGCTATTCTTTCAGACCCCTTAAATATGTTGTGATTCTCTCCTTAAATCAATAATAGGGCATTTGAATTTGCTGCAGTCATTATGGCGCCCAACCACGGTCAACTATGAGGTGAAAACATTGTTCTGACATGTATTTGTCATGCGCAAAGGACTGTTACTCGAGTGCAGGAACGGTACCCTCAGGCTTAATAAACAATTGTAATCTTATAAAATGGAGCTTTGGTCTGTTTGAGCAATGAATTAAGCAATGTTTCATCGAACTGGATACATATTGACAGCTTGCAATGGTGAACGGATAAAGTGGCTATGATGAGAGTGGGGCAGCATACCCTAATTGTTCCCATTACAAGAGTCGATTGTTATTGAAATCCAGAAATAGGTAGTTATATTTGAGTCCCGACGTACATAAAAGCTAAAACAGATTCCATAAATTAACGCAATCCATTCAGCTTATGAGTTCGTCGCTAAGGCAACTGACATCTCAAATTACATTCTCATTGGTAAAAGCATAATTATGAAATGCACGTGTATTTGTGTTTAGAGACTTAAGGAAATGCAATGCTGCGCTATCACCACAAGTCACTAAATGTGTACAGGGTATAAATTAAGTCAACATATTATAAGGCTTTTCGAACAATCTAACCAAGGACCGTTGACGAATATCTAACTTTATGCAAATGTGGTCTAACCAAAATAAAAGATTATTTGTAATGGAGAGAGGAAACACAATTAAGTAAGAAAAAGTGGAGATGGCAATTCTTATTTAGGGTGCTTTACATTAAAGCATTCGGATGCATACCGTTCGGGCGTTGCCTAAACACTGAAAGACCTTAAAAACGAGGGCGCACTTTACGCGCAATAATAGTTTAATAGCGATTCCACATAAAATTCAGATTCGGAAACATAAAAATTAATAAAAAGAGCAGCAAAATAAAATGCCTTGCCAGTGATCAACTTTCCATCCGCGAGTTATTTTAACACAAGGGAATGTACAGATAGGTAGGCAACAGACTGACCTAAATAAAGCTTTTAATTTTGGAAAAGATGGGTCTGCTATTCAAAAGAGCTTTAAGAAATTTAAAGGCAAAACCCGATGATTTTTTTTGTAATAATAAACTAAATAGCTTTAGGTGTGTGAATATTTATGCATGTAATATTCTTTACACAAAACATTCTCAAAGCCCACAAAACCTGAACTCAAGTTGGAAATACATGAGAATGTAAATATATGACCATCTAAGAGGGGGTACAATCAAAGCGAATGAAGGAATAATTAATGGTAAAAGTCGTGCCTCTGTAGACTGATTAAACAAAAATAACCACACGATCCAAAGTCGAAAGCGGGTTCTATTTATAGTAAAGTAATAACCGGTCAGAAGTAATTACCAGCCACTTGCATGTGAATGGGATTTAACGCTACTCTTGCTTATGCAAAATTTGCGAGGTACGCTCATCATGTGATTTGTGTGGACCTGGACAAAAAACGGGCCACTAAAGAATCAAGCGTCTATTTAGTGGTTCTCACAGCATTTTTCATTATAACAAGTGGGAACAATATGATTTGAGCTTTTTACTAATTGTGTACAATATGGGAAAATCCCTCTCAAATGCAGGCTCCAAAAACATTCATTCTAGCGGTATAGAACAGTGATATATTGTAATAAGGTGTTTAATACACTACGCGCAAGGGCTTTTGGCTGCATTTTAGTCTCTCTTACGTGAGCAGCTGAACAAGTGCGGGATTTTCGTCCTCATTGGCATACAGTAATACTTCAAAATAGTGGAATTACACAGTTTTGTTAGCAAATTGGAAACTTAATGAAGCTGGCTCTCACTCTAGTTACATTCACAATTTACGTAAGTAAAAAGGCTTGGCGATAAATCAAGGGAGATAAGTGGATCGATGATGAGACAACTTTATCGGTCTTCTTTTTTATTAACTAAATGGTCATAGGTTTCGGTAAACAAGTTTATAATTATAACGCCTAAACATCAAGTAAATTACATAGAAAATAGAAATGTGGAAAGAAGTTGAACATTCTTGAAATAGGCATTTTAAACAGTTATTAGACTAAGAACAAAAGCTTTTTATCAGTTATCCATTCGAACTGTATTTTTACTACTTTTATTCATTTTGCTTATTCGCAGCGTGTTTTCGTGTTTTGCGTTGGAAAATACATGATATTTATAATTTCCCAATTATGCTGGTTAAGCAATTTGGGGTCCGTGACTTACTCTTGATGGGTGGTGTCGCCTTAGGAGCCTCAAACTCACGTAGGAGGCGATCGAGAGAGACGGGAGTGACACTGGGATCAGCAGGCTTGATACGTCGCGGCTCCGGTGGCTGTGGAGCTGTCTCATTCCTCCAGGATATGTCGAGGTCACGTGAAGCCATCTCTTGCCGCACCATCTGACCTCTGGCGGCGCTGGTATCCAGAAAAAATGTCATCATCTGCGGCTTTCGACGCTCCTGCCTAAAGACGCAACAAGGACACATGTGCAGAGTTTTGTTTCTTAAAGTCAACACTGCTCGATGGTACGGGGACAATCACAGGTGCTGAATACTCAGTGTGATGATTCAATTATAGGCGAATAGTGTGTAAGTTCCCATAAAACCAACGCTGTAGCAGTTCTGCACTTTTGATAAGGGCAAAAGTTATTTTAAACTTAACTATAACCAACATTTCACACTTTAAGAGTGATTTTAATATTCACAGCACTCAAGATTTGTTTTTGGGGACATATTTTAAGACGTAAAACTCATATCACTCGTAGAAATATATTGACAATGAAAGTGTTTATTGCTATTTCTTATGCCTTCACTGCATAGCACTTTTCGGTTAGTTATTATGCCCATTGCACCATTTTGTGGAGAGAAGTTGTGGGTAGGCAAAAGTTGTACAATGCCGCGGATTTCATACCTTTGAACAACGAGATCCAATTCATAAACAGACGTATTAATAACGTCGATCGCATATGACCGATTAAAGCCTCTTGTTGAATAGTTGTTGATAGCAAGAACGACGTCATTTTCTCGAAGACCCGCCATTTCTGCTGGACTCTGTCTTCGAATCTAAAATAATCTCTGTGTGCTCTCAAAAGTCTTTGAAAATAAGTGAAAATCTTGAAATTTCGTATCATTTTGCAAATGCATAAAATCACGTGAAGATCAGGTCAAATGAACTTGGCATATACAGAGTTTACATCACTTTGTATTAACTGATTTTTAACATAAGTAAGAGGAAACGGTCATTTTTTTTCACTGTGATAATGTGCTCTACATACTGAGATAAGGTCAAAAGTGCGAACAATAGAAGATACAAGAACTTAAGCTTTATCAGAATTATTACTACTTCGCGCGAAATAGTATGCTTGAGAAAAGGTCGTTTGAAGGAGGTCCTAGAGCTCACCTGAGAAACAACAAGACTGCCATTGAACGTGTCTACCAGTCGGAAACCCCAAGGTGGTCCTTGTTGCATATGGATAACCCGCTCAAAGGTCTGCATTGCTGATGATCAGAAAGGGTTACTGAAAGAATCGTTCTCTTAACCAAAGACTCGATGAACAATTTTCTCTTCGAAAAGGAAGCAAGGAGTTAGAGATGGCTTCGCATTCTTTTCTACAATCGTCCTTGCTGCCACCGTCCTTTCGCAAACGTAGGGAACATGCACACGCGCCTGTCCTGGGGAGGGCTAGGCACGTACGCACGGTGAATGTGCGGTGTGCTGGCTGTCTGCCCTATCAGGAAGCCAAACTTAAAGACCACGTGATGGACAATCGATCCTGGGCTGCTTCCCTTTTCTTCCTCCCGCGACCTAATCGGCGTGTGCTAAGCAAAGGCCAACCACAGGCGTGTGCATGCACACGGAAACCCTGTGCGGTCATACGGTCTTACTTGATTATTAACATTCCCTTCGTGAATTTAAATCACATGGTGGGTCATTTAAGTTGACATACCTTTTTATCCTTCAGTGGCAAGAAGAAAACATGTTAATCTTTAGGAAAATAAGTACTTGACACTACTCCATTTGACTCCACAATATTCTAGTCGTAAGGGGCCATTAAAATAGTTTGGTTGAAAAATGTCAAGTTAATCATCTTCAACCACGAATTTAATAACTTGCTGCTTTATTTGATTGTGAATTATTTTGTTTCTAGTTATGAAAGTGCTCATTCTGCAGTGGAAACCCAAAGACTGGAAGTGTAAGAAAACTACATGGAAGCCATACTTCCAGGTTATTTGGTGATCTAGCAAAACTGGTCCCTGAGTGCTGATATTAATAAGTTGCATGATCCAGGAATTCGATTCACCCGGTCAAGTTAACTTGTCGTTAAAACTGGAGTTTCATACCCATTGCCGTATTTTGACAAGAACAGCTTCGGAATGCGTGTTTAATAAATTTGAAGTTAAATATTAATTTATTCATGCTTATGGATGCGCAATTGGAGCATTTGTGCATGCGCGATCACACGTAGGTAACGGTGAAGTTGACTACATATTATACGGCAAAAATCATGTTATTTTAATCCGCATGAGCCCTGATACATCTAAGTCAATTAAACGAACAGGCGAGTAAGCTAATGCATCGGCTGCCTAAAGTAGAAAAGAAACAACGATAGTACAAACTATCTGTCGTCTAAATTCGCAAGCCAGTATGAGGCAGCAAAGAAAAGGGTTTTAAATGGGATCAAATGCCAAAATATAATCATTCACGGAAAATTGATGGTCAAAAACATTCAAATAAGTAAAATGATGCAAATTTAGTACCAATTCTTTATGTCATTCCGATCGACATGACCAAATAAATGGTAAAAAGAGTCTGGATAAAAATTAAAGAGTTCACCCCTTAAAAACACAAACGTGAATTATTGTAAATGTGGGTGCCAAAAGTACAACCATTAGCATTATTTGGAAAGCATTTAATATTGTCCAGCGGCCTGCGCATTCACTCTACATCAGGAGGGCTAAATTAATCGACAGGGATATAACAAGGAATTTCCTCCTTTCACTCAAGGTTGTTCTTCTAAAAGTTAATGTGCTCTAATGGCATGTTTACAAAGTAGTGCAAACCATCGTCCATAAGAATATTGTTTTCTTTTGTGGTGTACGATTATTTTAATTTGTACTTTGGCTTTAGTGGGTTTGAAACTGAATTTTCGATGCGCAATATGACCCATAATTTACAAAATATGCATAATGGCTATTGCGGTTTCCTCGCCGTTGTTCAACCAAAAAAGAGTCCATGGGAAGCCGGAATTCTTGATGTCTAATACGCTCCTAAAATAAACTCCATTTGGGGTAACTGTTATTATTTTCTTTGCGCTGTATGGGTTTTTGGGGTCAAAACGCTTAATAACATTTGGATTTGCATGTGCAAGCATTAATGTAAATTACATATTTTACTAATCAAAGTAGAGCCATACTTTTAAACTCATTTAGGAGCAATTAAATTGTGTAAACGTAGTTTAAAGTAGGGAAGTGTATATATGAACATAAATGCTTCAATGTTTACTGAAGGTTATTGTCTTTTTGAAACAAATATTTTCACGTAGCATTTCTATATGTTAACCAAATAATGTGATAAAATGTCTAACAAAAGTTCTCAATGCAATTGGTTGCTTTGCATCGACATTATCTTTAACGCGCCACACGAGCACTACTACCAGCAATCTACTTTCTTACGCATCCATCCCATTGGACCGAAACTTTATGGTGTCAAGCAGTGTTTGCCTTCCACTGAAACCAAATGCGTATTTAAAAGTTGTGACGACACTAGGATAAATCTACTGGGTGCACAGAATGCCATTGATTCCGACAGTTTTAGTGGCTTATTTGCCACGTAATACAAGACTACTAATTCTGGCGTTCGGGAAGTACATTTTATGGTGGTTGCGGTATTGCAGAAAAATTACATATGATGACCATGATATTTTTTACATTGCCTCTAGATGTATTAACATGTTTTGTAATTATTGGTACCCTAACTACTCGAATGGGCAACTGTATGCTCCAGTCAATCACACATAGCTCTCTTTATGTGCTAAAAGAAAACAACTGAGTGTGCGATCAGCCACAAGATAGTTGCTATGACTATGCATTTTCATAAGCAAAATTTACTTCATATATAACCAGGTTTGACCACAAAAAAGAGAGTAGGTTTACCTCAACTTAAAAAATGAGTCAACACAATAGATTACGGGACGCTTAAAGGGCTGTACGGAGTTTTTGTGTGCGTAATTTTATAGGTTATACAAAAATTCGACTTGCTACTAACAAAGGAGTTTCAAGGAGTGTTCTGTCAGTAAAGCACATAGATATTTGTTTATTCATACGAAAACAGGCAAATCATGCTAACTCAACTTGAATAATCAGGGAACAGACTTGGACAAAATTCTCTTTAAAAGGCGTTTGAACAGTATCCAGGCAAGAAACGACAATGGCAGCTGAAAAGCCCTTTTTTGCGTGACGAAAGCCCACCGAGTTTCCCGACATATCTCGTTTCAAGCTATCGTGCCTCCTTCAGTCGCTTTAATAGTGAACTACTCTGGGCCTTACTTGCTGCAGGTTAGCAGTCATTTAACTACTCTCCACCAGTCGCTCTCTGATGTCCAAAATCTGGAAAAAAGTGAACATGCACCAGGAGATTTGAAAGAGGGGCAGAGTTGTCAAGCTTCAGCAGACATTACACTTGATTATAATAAAAAGACTGGAGATGCCTCAGAAAAACTACACGTGACAATCTTTGAAGCAGGTTTGCGCCCTTAAATATATCCAAGAAAAGATAGTAGCATTTAAAGGCTTTTCGATTTAACTGCACAAAAACTTCTTTTTCTAGGGGAAAAGCTTTATAGTTGACATAGTTCTAAATGTTTTAATTCTTTGCATCCTAATTATTCTCCCCTGTCATTGCACCTGGAAGAGAGAGATTGGTTGAGTAAATGACAGGCATCTGCGAAAGTACAGGATGTCTCCGTATTGGCCTATTTTTTCAGACGATGCCATCAAACATAAACGAGCATGGCAATTTGAGTGTATGTAGTAAACGTCTACTTTCGAACTTCGTTAAAATGATTTGGGATGAGAACGAAAATCGGATTTATGCTTTCAAAGCCCTTTTACACTGGCTGTTAAAGAGACGGTGCTAAAAATACTGGCAAACCATTGGCGGTTTAGAAAATCCATCTCAGGTACAAGAGAAAATCTAATAATTGGCGTTTCCACAAATTGCTCAGCTAAACTGGACTGAGTTATATTCCCTGTCGAAAGTCACGAATCAAGAGGTCACTAGATATCCATCGCACAGACGTTGCAAGAATCATTTCTTACTTTCAATACCATCTGTAAGGAATAATCACGCTATTGATAAAAGAAAATTGCCAGCTAAATTACTGACATAACAAACACTTAACATGAGTTTTATTTGCATTTTATTGAAAGTAATAGAAAAACTTACTGACGTGTAGTAAGGCAGAAATAGCGAAAAGCTAGAACATATTTTATGATCACTTTTGCTCATGCTTTCAGACTATTTTGTGTTCCAACTCATCAAGTCAGCACAGGCATTACTGCTTTACTGTAGCGGTAATGGTCATCTCACACAGCTACCAGTTATAAATATTTAATATATCTTAAAATAATCGTGCTCGGAATCCATGCATTTGTCTTACATATGAGAACACTATTTGTCACCGAGGGCTCCAAATTTTCTGTACCAATGGAATTGCGGATTACCATTAATTAAATGCCTTGTAAATTACAAACTCCGTGCATTTTGAAGTACCCCGAATTGGCAGTAAATCCACATTGCATATGCACGAAGACGTGAAACGAAGACCGAAGCAAGACAGCAATAAATGGATTCAAACGTAGTCCTTTTGGTCAGGTGAAAGACATTAAACTGTGTCAACTTCTCAAATATACAGGGTTTTTACTATTTCCGAACTGTGTTAAGCTAAAATCAAACATCTCAACTTCTTCAAAAGTCGGTTTACGCCTTTAAGAAAGGGGGACCTATAACAAGCAATATCTCAAAGTCGTCGGGTAACTGTCACAAAGTATTGTTTTGCAACTAGGTACTACTTAAAGTTCTCTTAATAAGCTATTTTACTAATTGGAAAAGATAATGGTCGGCAAAGTGATTGGTCACGAGGATCATGGTGTAAGACAACTCATAAAATTTCTGATATTTAGAAGGCTGCCCAAGTGCGTATTATCTATTGCAAAGTAAATGTTTTCTCCAAGATCTCTTTATTTGAATATGTTAAATGCAGCTACTACCCATGTGAACGAACCTAAATGCAATTCATTATGATTCAAAATAAAAGTACATATTTTTCTTTAAGCGCACATGTGTAGCTGTACAGATGAAGGGAGACCTGCAGCCAAAAAATTAATTGTCGCATTTTAGATGATGTTCTACAGGCAATTCAGATAAAGTATCGGATTTCACTTCTCTTCTAAGCATGGGCGGATGGAGAGACAACTGAGGTAGCTAGAGTTAGGAAT